CTAAGAAACTGAACTTCTATGTTAACTGAACACTAATAACACCTGTAAACTGACTTCCTATGAATGTTTCTGTACCCTTTATATATGAAACTTAAAATCATTAATATTTAATATACAAAGAAACAATATATTCAGTACCAGTATATATTAAGTGGGTACCGTCATCATCAGCTGAAGCAACAGAAGAAACACACAACTCCTTGCACATGTGCAGTTTCATTAGTCACTGAGTTTTGGAGATAATTTCTCCAGTGTCACACAATGTAGAAAACCCTCAGCTCAAGGCAGTTTTGGGAGGATCTTCTGCTGAACGATTTTTCCATAGCCTCCTCGTCCACTGTCATAGTCTGTTCGATACTCATCACGAACCTGCATGTCAAGATTGAAGGACAAAAAGTATAAAATGATGGATACTGATCTTCCCACTACCAACTACAGTATTTCTGAATGATATCACTATTGTTTCCAGGGGCAATGCAGAGAAGTGATCCGGTATAGAATAAGCTAAGGTTAGGAGAAAGAAAGATTTAGGGTGAACAGTCATAAACTTAAAACATTTAGAGACAACCAGTGAAACATACCTGACCGCCACTCTTGCCTCGGCCATACTGTCGCCCCTCTATAAAGCCAGCGTCCCAGTCCGTTCGTACGATGCGGTCATCTAGCCGCGTGCCATTGATGTACCGCATACACATCTCTGAGTCATCTCTGTATATATACAATACAGTATACAACACTTAATACAGCAACAAAATACGAATACATCAAGAGTACAAGTCAAATGTTAGAATCCAGTTTAACTAACAAATATTAACAACCCCACCAGTTGAACTTTAACCCCATCAAGGTTAAGCTGTTTCTCCACGAGAAATAATCATCAAGAATTAATCCCTCCGCTACGAGGACGCCACTTTTAATATCTTATTTGGCTAACACCAGACGCTTTTATTCAGCTCAGAGGCAACAACCGTACACAAGGAGTCAAGATATTTATTTTTGAATTGTATTGTTCTTGGTACCTTAATTTACCTGAATTATTACTACCATACTACCATTAATCAATACATTAATCTGAATTGAACTGCTCAAGTCTCTCTGGAACATGAGGTTCTTATCAACCCTTGGAATATTCTCAGTGAGCTTCATAACTATCTAACATATCTCAGGCTTCCAAAACATATTACTAAATTTTTATATACTGAAATTTAAGAAGAGTACTGTACAATGTATTTTCTTTATTCGTACAGCACAAAAGCACATTAAAATTCCTTTTCCACGAATTCTGTAGTTACTTAACACATAAGAATGGCATAAGATTAGTTCCCCCAAATAGTACCCTAACCTAACTAAACCTACCTAACCTGACCTATTCAACTCTTATCTAACTTAAACTAACCCTCCCCCCACCCAGGTAGCATTAGGTTGATTAATCAGATGAAATAATCTGTGGGGATAATCTTCATGCGAACCTAGATTTTTAACACCCGAGTCTGTATGATAGCATTACGGTATACCTGTACAAAATACAATCACAAACCTGGAAAAATATTCCACAAAGCAGAAGCCACATGGAGTCTTCCTAAACTTGTCAAGGCCCATGACAATGCGCTTTACATCTCCTGCACGTCCAAACAGTTCATAGAGTTGTTCTTCAGTGGTGTAGAAGGACAGGTTGCCCACATACAGTGTACTTGTACCCCGTAACAGACGCTCCTGATCTGTGCGTGAGCCCTGTGATATACAGAAATAAGCTTTTAAAGTACAGTACATATAAATATTCATATTTGCCAAAACAGTGTCAGATAGGACTTACTGCATGAAATTAAATAATATGGTGATATAAAGATAATTATCTTAAGCCACATGTGCTCATGATCTCTGTCTCCAATGGATATTACCTGTGTGGAATTTCAATACTCATATGTTAGATGTTTACAGTTATCATCTGGTGATAAGCCAAGTACAGTAAGCCACTCAATGAAAATTTGAAGATAAAATACAAATGTGCATCTTGCCTGGTGGTCGATACTATCATCAAACTATGTCACTAACAAGGGCTTCACTACTGTATGTGCCCTACAGTACTGCACTGTACATGAACACACAAATGGTCTACAACTCATGTTACTATGAGCCACTTCAGGAAAAAAAACTTTAAAGAAGAAACCTTGGGCATGGGATCTTCACATATAAGTTTGAGGAGTACTCCTTGAGTGCTTTAACCCCACATATTCCCTCGTCTTCAGAGATCTGTCCACTTTGTAAGAATCCTTTTTCATTGGTACTGTACTGTATATTTAGTCATCTCCAAAAATATACATTAGCGACAAAATAAGGTCACAGTCTTTTAAATCTACATGAAAAACATAACAAAACGCTGTTTTAGTTATTATTTCTCATTATGATCACTAGTGAATCAGTAATAGTGGAGCAGACGTTTATCACCAGAAGGAGTCTGTGGAATTGGTTCACTTTTCCTGTAGGGAATTAGTTTTGGTTTGGTTAGATTCTGTGCATTGTCGTTTTCATTTTCTTATTTAGTACCAAGCAAATAACATTTCAAGAAATGCTGGTGTATTACCAATGAATCGTTACCATTGTACTTTCAATAATTTATGAGAACACCACTACCACTAGAAGGGGTTATTCGATTTTGTTAATTTTTCCACAGATGGTCTTACCATTACAGTAGGTACAGTATTTTAAAAGAGGCAACAATTTTTTATTTTAACTTCAAGTATTATTTTTTTTTAAATTAGTTTTTCTCTACCTAAGATCAAATATCCATAATAAATCACCTGTAATGAAGGATGAGGGAAATTGCAGAGTAAAAAACGGTGAAAAACTGATCATTTGACACTAAAATAATGTCTCTACGTGTTTTGTACACAAAGAAATTAATTATTTACCAGTTTGTTTACAACCGACCCACTCAGTCCGAGCGTACTCTTACATCTAAAAAAATAAATTACACCATGACGCTTGAAGAAAGTTACTTCCATGAGTACCAGATACAAAAATAATTACTTTTTGTTTAATATGGCAGATGGTCTGAGGAAGTTAGGTAAGGTTAGGTACATTTCTTTGATTGGTTAGGTCAGGTTCTATTAGGTTCTAGTAAATGATCCCAATTTTAAAATACTTACTATAATGATAAGAACATCTGTGAAAAGCATTAACAAAATTGAGCAACTTCAGGTGGTAACAGTGTTCGGTTAATATTGACGACTGACCCGCGGATGAGTTATTTGTTTTGCTGTTTATTTTCCCACTTCCTTTTCATCAGTGAGTTCTGCTATGATAATCATTTCTTGAGCAAATGCTTCGTAAAATTACACCATATCTTTCCGTTTAATATACAGGCGGGTCTAGGAAGTTAAGTAAGGTTAGGTACCGTAGGTTTGTTTGGTTAGGTTGGTGAGGTCTTTTAACAGTGCTTCCACTGCTCGTTTTTCATATCAACTAAGGTTAGGTTAAGTTTACTTTAGAAATACTGTAACCACTTTTTAACACATTTGCACAAACTATGACAGTGTTCGCTATAAAACAGTGAAATTGTGGCGTTTTATAATCGTTTCTATGAAAAATCGGCCGTTGGTCAGTCGTCAATAATCACCCAATGTTCTCATATATTAAGTACCATACTTTTTAATGTGAAATTGTAGTCAAAATAACTCAAAAAATTTAAATTTGCAACAAAAACACAACAGTATCGTACATCATTTTTTTTGCTCAACCTCCCTTTTTAATGTGTTCCATGTTTAGCATCTACCAAACCTTTAACCACCTTGGAAGTGAATAATGAAGGCTACAGCACCATACAGCAGCTGTGCATATAGTACATCTAACTCATGGCACCACAGCACTAACTGCTAGAACATAACACATTTGTTTTCCTCTTCCAACATACAGTATTTGGTATTAATTTTAGCGACTACAATGTTTCTTCTATAACGTGAAATCCTAAAGGTTAGAGATATAATGAACATATGAACTGTGCACCATATAGGAGTCAAAGAATGTCATATTTGGTCTCTCACCTTAAAGTGCTGGTCCCTGTAGGAACTGAGGTCCACACTGGCCGTCATATTGGTCTCTGGCCTTAACAAAAAAATAAAAAAATGTAGCCTGCTGGTGAAAAAAAAGTACAAGAGCCTCCCGCTTGTTTATGTCCCGAGATTCTGAAGAGACAGGCGAGGTTTAACAGCAGCTACAGCAGGAAGAGCAACATGGGCAGCATCCTCCACACCAGGTGCCTCCATCTACCTTCCTGGTGATCAACTCTTAACACCTTGTATAAACTTCTCTCCTGTGTCGTCTTTAGTTAGTGTATATGTCACCTTTCATTTTACTAACTGAATATGGATGTAGGAATTATTCTGGTAGTAACTATGTAAATGAACTGCCGAAATAGCCAGAAATTCTCAAAACAGAATAATAATTATGGTCGTATCCATACTCTTATATGAGTACGATAATAGGACATAAAAAACGGTTAGGTTTCAACAGTCACTATATTATTATCAGGGCTCCTCCTATGGGTGGGGGGATTTCACTAGATTTGATTCAATTGAAACAGTTTATTTAGCCAGAAAAACACAGATACAGAGTGGATAATTATAACAATATTAACATGGCTGAGCCAGTTGAGAACCTGAGCTCTCCTGTAGGCACCTGATATATACTATACATTTATCTCAAGGAAGTATTATGTAACATTTAGTATCATCTGGAATAGTACAATAGCATGGTGGTAATAAGAACATCTCATAATGTTTCCACGGTTATCACTTCAATATTTATTTTTTATTTATTCATTTTTTTCTTTTTATATTTTAAGTATATACATAAATTACATTGGAATTGAAAAACTTAAGTATAATGGGGGAGCAGTGCAACATAGTACAGTATTAAGGTTGAACAAGAGGACAGAGCTGTCAGGATATGTCCAGTTGGCAACAATGTTTATTGCAATGGTAATTTTTTATCTATTTACAAGACAATTTCCGATAAAACGGTTTTGATGGTACTATAAAGACCGATTAATGGCCTCACAACTTTATTAAAATACTGTACTGTATAATGTTTCCTCAACACAGTTCCTTCTTCCTCATCTTACGAATAAAACAATACACAAAACTATTAAACAGTAATGATTGTTTATTTATGATCAGCCAGACGTTTGACGAGACCCGTAAAATAATAATAATTGTAATTATTTTAATAGGAATTTCATTATTACTGATCCAGTCAGTCAAAATATTACCATTAATTATTAACCAAACACACTTTTAGTGATTAAAATAAATGGAATCATAAATTTTCTCTGCTCTAAGTAGCAGTGTCATTCTGAAGGAAAATAGTCATATTTACATTATACAAGCATATTGTATAACTGATTTAACATTGTCGTGAATAACTAATGTCAACATATAGCATACTGTATTGTTTAAATAAATACTGTACTGTATTTGTGTGTCGACCTATATTACGTTACTCAGTATATTACAACACCTGTTCTGCGGTTATTAGTGAACTGTAACTTTCGTTCGTCACTTGGCCCGCTGACTGTTACTATTAAAATAATGCTGACCACAACACTGATCTAATGCACTTCTATATCGATTCACTCCGGTGCATAAAGAACTCTCTTGTTGCCAGCCACACAACTTTACACGTTTATTTTTCTATCTCACTCATACATCAACAACAACAACAACTGTAAAAATCTGCCATACAATCAGCTTTTGACAACCTTGAATGGAGATGTATAAACTGAATATCTTCAAATGTTGAAGATTTTCATGAATGTTCCAAACCATCGACATTCGATGAGAACATTTTACAGATACAAAATTTAAAATAAATAGCAACCTGGAACAAGCATCCACTCGGGAATATCGAATTTTGGAATTTTGTTCTAAAAACTCGACATTCAGGAGCAGATACTTCATACAAATTGCAGGGACAAAGTATGGAAGTAGCAGCACCCTTGAAGAGTCCTCTACCAGAGAACCACAAGTAATGTACATCTTTCACAAAGTCGACATTGACCATAGACTCACCAAAGATCGCCTCGCTCCTGCCTCTACTTGTGATCTACCTACACTGAGTGGTCGTCGACGAAAGCTGGATTGTCGTGGGAGGCGGGTTGTGGCGGCTGTTCTCGCTCTGGTGTTTCACTTATCGCCTCCCTCTCCTTGTCGTCGACCTTAGGTAAATTGTAGAATCTCTTGACCAGCATGACAAACACGATGGTGTTGACAGCCATGAGCCCTGCGTACAGGAAGGCCTCGTGAGAAGCGCGGTGCTGGAAAGCCCCCGTGGCGGCGCTCACACTCGTCAGGCCAGCGAAAAGCCACAATCCTACTGTGACAGTGAAGAGGTTGGCCGCCTGCAGGATGGACTTCATTGCCATCGGGGCCTGGGAGTAGGCGAAGTCCATGCCGGACACCGAGAACAACACCTCCCCGATGGTGATGAGGATGTACTGAGGGAGGAGCCACATCATGTGCACGTTGGCTGGGGCCGTCATGGGGAAGAGGTAGACCTTAGTGTCAGTGATGACGACGTCGTACACACCGTCCTGGTACACCGGAGCATCCCCAACATTATCTTCCCCAATCATCACCTTGTACTCCTGGGGACTCAACCGCTTGAACTCAGTCTTGCCGTCGACGAGTCTGAAGTGCTCGGATAGCATGTCGTACTTGAGAGTGACGTTGGGCAGGTTGTTCTCTGGCGCCAAGACTCGTAACTGTGGGGGAGGACCAACACAACCATCATCAACACTTGTACATAAACAACATACAGTACAAACATTGTCTCCAACAACTTACAGCCCAGGTCCTTCTTTTTCACCTGATGGACTAATTCACGTTATTTATGTTGTCACTTAACATTAACGAAATTTTAGGCTAGTGTTGTCTCATACTAAACTCAAACAAGACATTTATGTTCATCTTTAACAACGATGACGCACTAAAGAGAATTAAAACCTCAAAAACCACAACCATTAAAAATACTGAAAACTGACTAATCCTGGATCCATTGTCATGATTGTGTGTGTGTGAGTGTCTCCTGGGGAAGAAGTTGCAGGCCCGTATAGCTCACCTTAGTCTCGGCGTCCTCATCCTTGATATACTCTAGTGTTGGCGGCAGGATGAAAGCGCCCGTGGAGGTGATAACCACTGTGGTCTCATGGGCCCCCTGTGTATCTACCTTCACCTGGGTCATGTCCGGAGCGGGGCAGGAGGCCTCCACCTGCATCGCCACCTGCTCACCAACCTTGACGTCGAAGGTGGGAAGAGCCACCTGACCGCCGCTCTCCAAGCTCAGCTGACCCGAAGCGGCCAGAGGCACCTCCACCGTCACCTGGCAGGGTAGTGTGTTGTACACGTGGATGCGAGCCTGCTGTGGCAAGATGAGGGTCTGTTCAACGCTCATGTTCACCATCGCGTACACGATGAAGGCGGTGATGGAGAAGCACATACCCACAATCATCCGGGAAGTTGTCTTGGTGAGCACACCTAAACGGTCACACAGTGGATAGATCACCAAGTCGAAGAGAGGAATGAGTGTGAGGATGAGGAGTGGGTTGACGGCGGAAGACATCTCTGGCGGGATGCGGTAACTACCCAACAGTCCGTCCAGACGCTTAGCTTGGAAGATCATGCCGGTAGAGGTCTGGTAGAAGAGCGCCCAGAACAGCGGGTAAGTGCAGAACAGCAGCAGCACACGCAGCGTCACCTTCACGTCCTGCAGTAGCTGATCTTCGTACTTGCCCTGTGAGCGGTCCAGCCAGTGTTCCACAGGCTTACGGTCCTTGTCCCAGGATTTACGGATAGCGTGACCAACGCAGCGCACAGCCCGGATGAGCATAGTGTCTGGGGGCGCCTCCGTGTAGCGTGACCGACCTGTACAGTGAGCAGATAACACAGCCTGTGAGAAGCTTTATCGATGAAGGTTCGACAATAATAAGAGACATAGCAAGGAGCGTCAACACGATGCTATAGTAACCTCCCTCAGCCGTTTCATGGAAAAAATTCCACTTTCTTATTTTAACAAGTCCTATGGTGTCCTGCTAGTCTAAGTTACGTCATGCAGCACTGAGATAAATTACAATAAGAAATGTAAAGTTTGGGAGGGGATATCTCATTGTTTTCATTAATGAATGACAGGTTGGAACATTACAACTGACCAACAACGAAGACGGCAGTGGAGATGGCCATGAGCACCACCAGGATGATGTAGGGCAGGAAGTAGCAGTCGTTATTGAAGCACTGGACAGTGTCACGCAGCTGAGCCGTCATGAACTGACCCATGAAAGCTCCGGCGTTGATCATCCAGTAGAAGGCGTAGAAGAACCTGTGATTGAGAAGTCCTTGTAATGTACTAGTCGTGTTCTCTCCCCCCCCCCCTCTCCTATTATCCACGACCCTCTCCCTCACTCTGTATATTCCAATTACTATTCCTTCAACCTCGTTTGCTGTCCCTGAATTTTAACCACTGTCCCGGCCTCTCACCTCTTCTGCTGTTCACGCTGCTCGGGGACCTTAAACTGATCTGCGCCGAGGGAAGAGTACACGGCCTTCATGAGACCTGCACAGATTCCCAGCACCAGGAGACCGAAGATCCCCGTAAACTTGGCCGCGCTGACCGATAACATTATAGGCGTGACGGAGGACAACGCGTAGATCATCGTACCTACAGTATACCCGCAGCACATAAAGAACACCAAGCGAACCTGTAGGGAAAGAGTGAGAGTGTGTTAAGTAAGACCTTAAAACACTGTGCGGGGCTGTAGTAAGAGAGAGTGTGAAGTGAGTGTGGTGAGAGAGGGTGAAAAACACACCCTAGGTAACAGTGTCAAAAGAGTGACTACAATGTTATCTCCTATCATTAAGTGGTTGCTACTAATTATCCCTTAGTTCTCCCAGCTGTGAAGAGGTACCTAACTATATTACTGGTGATATTTACATGGTTTTTCGTCGTGTGGGTGGTGTACTGTATGTAGTTCATTTTTTTCATATCTTTCACTATATTGCACAAGCACGTATGAAATTAACTATATCTTCTATCTTCCTATATTTCCATTAGAATATATTTCTTACTTTCAATCGACTGTAAAAAATACGCTTGGTTGTTTTCTTTTGTCTTTCCTTTCCAGATTTTATACATTTCTTGGTTTACTCGTACATTACTCTTTGCTTCTACTTCCATTTCTTCTTTTTCTTATAGTTCTTCGATTTTTAATCTTGTAATATCAATATTCATTTATTTAATTCTTGAAGGTAATTTTGAGTTCTTTATCCATTTACAAATTCGATCTTCTTTCACGACCCAAATGTGGAGGCTGACCACTACTGACCACTCACACAAACACCTGACGACCTCACCTGTATCACGCTAATTGCTTTCTCCTCTTCTTTCATTCGTCGTTTTTTCCTGTTTATTGTTTTTGTTAATTTGTTGTTCTTGTTATTGGGTTTCTTTTTTCTTCTTTTCTGTTCTTTTTCTTCATCATCATCATCATAATAATCATCTTAATTTCCCGTACTACTTAAACTTACTGTACACTATACCTAACTTACCTACGACTACCGCGTGCTCCCTGACCCTACCCTAACGTTCCCTCAAACCTGGAGCACATCGGGTACACTTCCCCAAATACGGTGGCTCTCACGGCGAAGACAAAAAACAACACAAAACAAACTCACCTTGCCGAGATACGTATCAGCTAGGATGGCGCCAACAATAGGAGCCAGATATATCAATCCTTCCATCACGGACTTGACAGTCTTGGCGGTGGAGGATGTGAAGCCCAACATCCTCTGCATGTAGAAGACGGCGCCACCGAAGAGGCCATAGTAGACGAAGCGCTCCAGCAGGTACCCCACCAGGATGAAAAAGGCTCCTCGTGGGTATGGTAGTGTATTCGACGAGGTCATCTTGGGTCACCTCTCTCTTTCTCTGCTGCTGCTGTGGAAGGTAAGGAGATTGTGAAGAGAGACTGGTTTGGTTTTTTTTTTCTCTCTCTCTCTCTCTCTCTCTCTCTCTCTCTCTCTCTCTCGCTCTCTCTATACCAAAACAATAGATAACGTAAACATTCCCTCATTGAATCATGTAAACAAGAAACAACCAAAGTAGAACTCAGCAACACGACACATCACACTCACCAAAGCGTCCAACACTACTCCTTCATAACCACGTCACTCCCACAACCACGCCGCAGGAATTTGGTGACGTGCATGTTGCGGTCAGACAATTATTGTGTGTGTGCGTGTGTGTGTGAAAATAGCCGTTTTTTTTCACGTGTAGGGTATGTGCACGTAGTTTGTTTACGAGAGAGAGAGAGAGAGAGAGAGAGAGAGAGAGAGAGAGAGAGGCCTGGGTTACACCTTGTCGTGTTCCACAGGTGGCTCACCTAGCCCACACCTCTCCCGAAGGCGAGGTTTTGAGGTCACACACACTCATGCGCAAGCCCTCTAAGACAGATCACACATACACACACACATACGCCCACTAATACACACACGCCCACGAGCACACACACACGCCCACGAGCACACACACAGTCCTTGGTGGGCGTTGTTTTCCATTATTCACATCATCGTAAAATCATAGATACAAAAAACAATGCCCACAGTCTGAATAATTTAAAGAATACACTACTTGGGAAATAATCTTTAGAAACCATTAGTATCAATTTTGTAAAGACTTAAGGTGAAGGCCGTGTAAATATTGGTACTTCTCACTGACGCACAATGTAAACAGATTCCCGGCTGGTGGCAAACAAGAGGAGTGTTTGCCAGGAAGTGTTGGTCAGGGTGTTAATAAACTTGATAATAGACGTGGGAGAGGTCTTGATAAACTGATAACGATACTTGATTGTTCAAAATAAAGGATCCAGCTATAAATAAGTATCTGATGGCTTACTATTTACTATTATTTTATACTTATACTATCTAGATACAGTGTATACCTGCATTGTATCTGTATAGTATTTGTATACCTACACTGTCGACGTATACATTACAGTATATCGTATACTGGACGGTTTATGTACTGTATACTGTACCTGCGTTTGCTGAGCTGTATACCTACATTGTAAATACAATGTATATGCTGAACTGTAAACCTGCAATGTTTATATACATTAAATATTTATGACGATTTTACTGAATATCTATCTATCTATCTATCTATCTATTTATCAGTAGAATAAGTGAGGTAGTATCGGTGCTGGTAACACGATACACTGTATAATGTATATGTAACTTGGCTAACCCCATCTCAGATTTCACGCTGGTTAACTGTTCTCAGGAAAGTATTGATATTTTTCTGAAGACTCAAACCATGGTGTTACAGGGAACCCCAATATATGATCCAGGCGTGAATTATATTTACCTGTTCGTAATAAAATGTAATTCTCTTTACACTGTGATCATATAATTTTACTGTGGAACTTTGACACTACTGAGCTGCTGCGAATGTTTGCTGAATTAAACGTCTTAAGGCATACTTTGGTGTATGTTAAAGTCCCCCCCACATGATAATTTACAGAATGATATAACGTGAACGAGATATTTACCGGCAATGCTCGTCCTACTACGCTGAAACATCGGTCCACAGTCCTCAGCACGTTCGTGATTTGGTATAGTTTTGGAACGACCCTGCTGTAGCATAACACAAACAACTTTTTACTTTTATCCTCTTTGCCAATGATCGGCTTGTTAGCCGCTTGGGCGATCGGTCACGTCTCTGATTACTCTGAGATACTCTACATTATTTTAAAGTCTGATTTAGAAGGTTTTTTTATATTGAAAATGAATATTGCCGTTAAAGTACCTGTAAAAGAGAGGGAGTGAAGCAACATTGCGGCGAAGAGAAAGGGAAGAAAGATTATCAACTAAAGTAGGAGAGTTAATAAGACGAAATGCCATTGATCCCACCCTATCTAACAGTTGGACAGGAGAAGAGCCACCCCAGATATGAGAGCAGTACTCCAAGTTAGGACGAATGAATCCCTTATAAACTTGAAACAACTGCTCAGGAGTGAAGTAGCTACGGCATCTGTACAGCATTCCCAGCTTTCGGGAGGCAGCTTTAGCTAAGTTATCGATGTGTGATTTTCCATGACACATTAGAAGAAATGGTGAGGCCTAGCATATCTATTTTAGAACTTGGCAGAATTATTGCGTCCTGAAATGTGATTGGTGGGAGAGCATCTAATTTGGAAAGGGTAATTGGTAGATACTGAGTTTTATTACTATTTTATTTAACCAAGATCCGCATTGATAGATGAAATGATACCAGCTCTAGAAATATCTCGTTTGAGAATTAGGAGGAATGGAAAAATGTGAAGAAGAGTGAAGAGTAGAATCATCGGCTTAAGAATGAAGAGAATTAGTTGTAGTGTGAAGTAAATCATTGGTAAAAAGAAGCAAGAGCGTAGGTGAAAGAACAGAACCCTGTGGGACACCACTAGTGGTAGAGAAAGAGTGTTATGCTTGGACCCAAACTGCAGGCAGAAGTCAATCAAGAAAAAGTTATTGGAAGCACATCAGTAAGAATGGCTTCGTTTTGTGGTAGTTCCCTGGCAGTTGAAGCACATCGCTAGAATATCATCAACAACAACAACTGGTAGTAAACACAAAAATGGCGAGAAGAATCAAATAGAAAATATATGTGAAAACGAAACAGTACGGTGTTACTCAGAATATAAAAGCGCTGCCTCTTTCCTAATATTTTTCCACTACTGTATTATAATTACATGACATAAAATAAGAAAAATAGGGATAATGATGATAAACAATGATGATAAACAAGAAAAATATGGATAATGAAGATAAACACAAGAAAAATAAGAACAAATATAAGAAACAAGAAAAATATAAGTAAGTTTATAATACAGGTTTACGGCGCAAAAAAAACACCACAAAAAACCTATATTAATAGCATGCACTGTAGGTCACTGCTGAGGGAGAGAGAGAAGGAGGGAGGAACGGAGAGAGAGAGAGAGAGAGAGAGAGAGAGAGAGAGAGAGAGAGAGAGAGAGAGAGAGAGAGAGACATCAATCAGGTCGTCGATATTCAAAAATGAAACTTATTCGTCATTCTAATTCCTCCTCCTCTCCACTCTCTAACACTTTCACAATTATCCAGTTGTTTTTGTCTCGTCTGGTCATCATATCTTAACTAATTATATATAAGAACACCTACACCAACCCTCGTCTAACCTCGACTGGTGAGTTAAGAAGACCTGCGTACCACTACCACGGTCACCAAGCTTGTAGGGAAATCGTGACCTGTGAAAGACATCCGGTCCAAGGTCATGTGTGTGTGTGTTGATATTTACCTTGACCTGGTTCTCTCTATACCACTCACCAACTTACCTGAACCACCCTTACCTGCATATCTCAACACCTACCTGAGCACTTAACTGAACAAACAATGGGGGAAAATTCAGCTGTGATGTGGGGGTTTATTCTGTCTAATAATAATAATAATAATAATAATAATAATAATAATAATAATAATAATAATAATCAGGGCAATACTTCATTTTTTTTCAACAGCTTCTACAACACAAGAGTTAATCCAACTAATCCTTGTACAGCTCTATCAACAAACTTCAACCAATTCTAATATTCTATATATCATTAACAAACTTCTACAGCCAACACAACAAATCAGCAAACTTCTACAACAAAAGGAAATAACCCAACAGGTACTTGTACTACGCAGGGGTCGCTGGGTTATTTATTTTTATATTTATTTTACCTTTTTTGTACTTCTAAGAAAAGGTTAAGACAGGAAACAAGTATACGTCTGGCTGGGACAACTTTCACGCCGACACACACACACACACACACTAATTCACTAAAAAACCTTACACAGACAGATATTGTAACACTCGCTAGACACATTATTTTGTTCTCTCCTCCTTAGGTTAGGTTACGTTAGTTTGGTTAGGTTAAGTTAAGATAGCAAGTTAGGTTAAGATGGTAAGGTGAGGTAAGGTTAGGTAGAGCCATTGTTAAGTTGCATGAAACAGCCATATTACCAACAGGACGAGCATTGTCTACACCAAACCAAAAGCTCGGCGGAAATCCCCTGCTAGCATTATGTTTCCGTTCATTACATAAACACACAAAGAAAGAGAGAGAGAGAGAGAGAGAGAGAGAGAGAGAGAGAGAGAGAGAGAGAGAGAGAGAGAGAGCAGACAATACCCCAAACTAGAAACAAACTCCCCAGCCAAGACAGGAAAAAAAAAATGACCCAGAGAAGTTATGAATCTCACTTGACGGTATTGTACAGGTCGAACTGCATTACGACCTCAAATGCTACCTCTAATACCCAGGACCAGTTTGTAAGAGTGACCGCTGATTTCATGAACGGCGGGTGTATGTAGGTCAGCCGTAAGTTCAAGTAATACCGAATGTTTTTAGAGAGTTTCCAGGTACACATATTGGTGCAGTATACGTGGCTGTGAGTTTATAATAATATAGGTATTTACATATATCAAGTACAGAAGGCATCGCCAGAGGACACAGTTAAGTCGTATACAAGACACACAGGTTGACCTTAAAACAACGCGAACAATGGTGGATACTGTGTCCAAACACCCTGAAGACGACTGGACAAGCACGTCGCACTAGTGGGTGGCTCACTGGCTCTTCCTATGAGTTTAGTTTTGTTCGCATTTCAGGAGGACTCATTTCTAACCACAGCAAAATCCGTCTAATGGGAAAGTTTCTTATAGCAACAAAAATTATATAATAGTATTTCTGAATCGCTAGTCCACAGCGAGACTCGCAAACACCACGAATACAAAAACATTACAGGTATACAAACAATATACACAGTCAGAGCCGTCCCTAGGGTATGGCAGCCGGTGCGACCGCCCCGGGCCCCGCGGCTCTTACCCCACCCAACACCAGAATTAAGTGACCTCGTTAAGCTGACCTCACCTTACCATCCAGACTGAGAACAATTTCATTCTTTACTGTGCTCTCTGTCGAAGAGGAGTGAGGACGTTGAATTGAATTGAAACAGTTTATTTAGCCAGAAAAACACAGATACAGAGTGGATAATTATAACAATATTAACATGGCAGAGCCAGTTGAGAACCTGAGCTCTCCTGTAGGCACCTGATATATACTATACATTTATCTCAAGGAAGTATTATGTAACATTTAGTAACATCTGGAATAGTACAATATCATGGTGGTAATAAAAACATCTCATAATGTTACCACGGTTATCACTTCCATATTTATTTATTTATTTATTTACATCATAAGTATATACATAAATTACAGTGGAATTTAAAAACATAAATATAATGTGGAAGCAGTACAACATGGGTTGTACAGTATTAAGGTTAAACAAGAGGACAGAGCTGTCAGGATTATGACTAGTTGGCAAATATATTTATTGCAATGTTAATTTCTTGTCTATTTACAGCGGTCACCTGTCAGTGTTGACGTAACTTTGAATCTCCAGCTGTCCGTGATTTGTTTTGTGAAATTGTTGATACACATTATTTTACTATCGTACACAGCCCTCGTTTTCTAGTATACCATGGCCAGCAGGGATAGAGACAGATACAGAAAATACATCTCTGGTGCAGAGAAAAGGAACAGAGGAGAAACACCAGAAACTAGTGCAAAAAAGAACCTGCGCGACTGATGGTGATAGTGTGGGTCATATTCAAGCTGGGGAAGAGGAGAGTACTGAAAAAAATACGAAGGCTTTTAAAATGGTCAGTTCTACCTATGCTAACGGGCATGCTGATGAAGATCTGTGTGATCCAGCCAACTGGCCACATTTACTGGGCACTACGATAATTGATATTTTGGTAGAAAAGCGACCTGTTAAGGTATCTAGTGAAAATTATGTTTCCCAAAAATGGTGAAAATCGACACTTTTCAGAATACTTTTACCTGCAAAGGGGCCCCGCAGTGGATGAATTGCCCTGGGCCCCGCACACCCTAGGAATGGCTCTGTACACAGTGCAGGTACACAAACAATATATGTAGACAGGTACACAGACAATGGTAAATAATTAGTCGTTATATCCAAGGATCACAAAAGAATGCTAGCCAATCCCGTGTCTTTTTTTTCATAAGAACATAAGAATGGAGGAAACTGCAGAGGGCCTATTGGCCCATACTGGGCAGTCCCGTTTACACCCAACCCCGATTGCTCATATAAGCATCCAACCTATGTTTGAAGCTATTCAGCGTATTCGAGTTAATGATGATATTTGGTAACTTGTTCCAATCATCCACTACTCCGTTTCCAAACCAGTGTTTACCTATTTCACGCCTGAATCTAAATTTGTCTAATTTAAAACCCTTGTTACGAGTTCGCTCCTGGTTGGATAGTTTGAGTACCTTTGTTATGTCCCCTTTGTTTAGCCCTGACTTCCACTTATACACCTCTATCAGGTCGCCCCTCGCTCTACGTCTCTCGAGGGAGTGCAAATTAAGATGCTTTAACCTGTCTCTATACTCAAGGTTCCTAATGCCCGGGATTAGTCTTGTCATTCTCCTCTGAATTCTTTCCAATGATTCTATATTCATTCTGTAATACGGTGACCAGAACCGAACTGTGTAATCCAGGTGCGGTCTCACAAGCGCAAGATACAGTTTTTCAATACTCGCCTAGGATGGGAGAAAGTGTTTGTTAACCAGGGCAGCCTAACACCACAAATGTTACACTGCCTAACTTAACACAACCAGAGGTCTTCCCCTGGGCAGATATTAAACCTTCCTGTTACACTAACATTGTTCCCCATAAGGATAAACACCTCACAAACAATTAATAGGATTCACATTGCCACTACCTTACTTTCCTACACCACGATGAAAGTACTGTATAATTAAAAGCAACGTTGTATGGGGGAGTTAAACTATGTGGTGGGATCTGGCACTGTGTCTACAATGGATTCCTATCGCTGTTACCGACCTATCGTATTGAGGTGCTTATACGCGTGTCCACACTTTCTCATTTCTATTCATGGAAACGTTAGCTTCTTGGCACATTGTTTAAGAGTGTACATTCTTTCCAACTGTAATTGTACCTTTAATTGTATTTACACCTGTACTTGTAATCTGTACCTCTACCTGCACAAATACAGTTACAGTACATAAACATTCATGAATTGACAATAGAAGATGACGCCCTCTCTAGATGACAGGAAGAGGCCCATATGAGGTGTATTGTTATATTCACACTCACCTGGAACCTGTGTGATAACGAGCAACACCTACTGTACACTCCCTAACACTAATATGCCAAACTCCTCCGTGCAGGTAAGTTACGAACACACATAACCTAATACAAGGAACTGTACACAGAATCTATCACACATAACTGTATACAGATCCTAACAAACAGAACTGTACACAGAAAATCTAACACACAGAATTGTACCTGTAAACAAAGAACCGAACCCCGAAAATAAGCTAAAGAGAACCGAACAGAATGAATGCACCGCTGTAGAAGATGTGAGGCCAGTGAAGGCAGCTGACCGATAAATGTATTTCCATTGAATTCCTTGGTAGGTGAAATAATTTATTTTTATTTTTAATACAGGTATTGTCTGTTAAGACACAAAGACATATACATATCCAGACACACACACACACACACACACACATGCAGCCACATACATATCCAGACACACACACACACACACATGCAGCTACATACATATCCACACACACACACATGCAGCTACATACATATCCAGACACATACACACACATGCAGCCACATACATATCCACACACACACACATGCAGCTACATACATATCCAGACACACACACACACATGCAGCCACATACATATCCAGACACACACACACACATGCAGACACATACACACACTACATCCTTGACCACCGAAGGGTCAAGACGTACCTGGAGCTCCTCTCAGAGCAGCCAGGTCAACTGTTAAGTTGGCCCATACCAACCCCCTCACCTGAACCCTCCTCCCCACCGGAATATCAACAAGTTCTCTCCAGAAGTTACTATTTCATTTAGGAAAGGAACGGAACCAGTGTTAAACAGAGGTGAACAGTGGTGAACAGTGCTTAAGTCAGTGAGAACAACTCAACAGTAACAGTCGTACCCAAGTTAACCTTCACACAGTGAGGTCCCAGGTACCCAGTGATAACGGCCCATGAGACCCAACAACCAGCGATGTGTTAATCCGTCTACGATAGGAAGGCCTAAGACCACACCTCACTCATATAACACCATCTGTGAGGGAATTACTACACCACATGTCCCTCATAACACCATCTGTGAGGGAATTACTACACCACATGTCCCTCATAACACCATCTGTGAGGGGAATTACTACACCACGTCAGGCCCCTCATAACACCATCTGTGAGGGAATTACTACACCACGTCAGGCCCCTCATAACACCATCTGTGAGGGAATTACTACACCACGTCAAGTCCCTCATCACACCATCTGTGAGGGAATTACTACACCACGTGAGGTCCCTCATAACACCATCTGTGAGGGATTACTACACCACGTGAGGCCCCTCATAACACCATCTGTGAGGGAATTACTACACCACGTGAGGTCCCTCATAACACCATCTGTGAGGGAATTACTACACCACGTGAGGTCCCTCATAACACCATCTGTGAGGGAATTACTACACCACGTGAGGTCCCCTCATAACACCATCTGTGAGGGAATTACTACACCACGTGAGGCCCCTCATAACACCATCTGTGAGGGAATTACTACACCACGTGAGGTCCCCTCATAACACCATCTGTGAGGGAATTACTACACCACGTGAGGCCCCTCATAACACCATCTGTGAGGGAATTACTACACCACGCCAGGTCCCTCCTAACACCATCTGGGAGGGAGTTACTACACTACGTGTTTGCTGTTCAACACCTACAATAATCTGTATGTTCACTGTATGTTCCTTTACCTTTCTCTAATGAAGGCTTTTGTTAAACCACCAATGTATGTAATAAGTCATTTATGTCCAATGTATATTTTCAGCCTTCGGGCTGCAGAACTTTTTCAATAAACCGTCAATTATTATTATTATTATTATTATACATAAAAACACACACACAAGCACATACATACCCACACAAATACGCTGTAGGTAGAAATTTCAATTTCAATTGAGCCCTCCACATGTGCAACGAATGTGGACGTCCCTGCCGGTCCCGTATCGGTCTCTTTAGTCACCTCAAAACTCACTAACCCAGGTGACATCCCGAATAACCCATATCATTTTACCATAGCTGGATGATCGCCATACTCGATTCCGAGTTACAGCAAAGTAGTAGTAGTGTGTGTGTGTGTGTGTGTGTGTGTGTGTCAGCTGGCAACTCAACAACCCCCAGTTAGTTTTTGCTTTAAACCAGTTTTACTTTCGCGCGTTTGTGAATGTTCCATCTTAAATAAAGTTATCAAGAAATTCTCTACTGGACACTTCTCTATCTATAAAACAACATCACAGCATCACGAAGAAAAATACTCCATAATGTAAAAGAATAATCAGAGTAAATAGATGTTAAAAATCACACAATTCTCCCATACGTATGATTGGATAGATTTGAGACACTTAGGTTCACACACTTATGTATACGTACAGTACAGTCACACATACAGTCACATGTAGGTACTACCATCACCTATCACACACACGTACTTCGTCACTTGTAACCACCCTCTGTAGTAGCCAAGTCTAGTACCGGAAATAACTCTGCAACACTCAAAGCCACAGTACCTTCACTGTCCTCTACTATGCTACCGCTCACAGGATGAAATGCACAATAAACTAGCTGCTGTTTGCGGTGAAATTAAAAAAAAAAGTAATTCACCGATTCACTCACGTCACTCACTCACTCACCACCCACTACCTCACGTAACACATCCTCCTTTTTGGTAACTGAAGTATCTATATTAAAATAAGTGACTCAACATAAATGGCCGCATCAGAGCAGCCTCGACACAATCACCAACAGCAAACGAATTTTATCTTAGCAGATGTTTGTTATATTCCAATCAGTGTAGTAACACGGAAGTCCTCATCTCTCACTGTTGTCTCTCCTAGTTTTAAATAGGAGTGTTATTCGTGTGGTTAATACTGCATAATTCGTGTAAAATAATGGAATTTAAACAGAGGGATGCCATTAGAAACAAGATGTCATGATAAGATCGCCGCACCCACACAAAACTCTCACTGGATGATGACGCTGGCCAGTGTTACGTAAATGACAGAGTGAAACAAAAAAAATGTCCTAGAATGATATAGTATAAAGAATGAGTGAAGCAGCGCACCTAAAAGGGATGGGAAGGCTGGACACACCTACCTCCACTAGAGTTGAGAGAGAGACTGACGCGCACATTGAGCAACCGAGAGAAAGGTGGTTCTCTGTCTCGCCTGGTCAAGATTTAAAGGTTGATGCCAACAACACTGTCACTAGGTACTACTGTCCTCAGGGTGTAGTGTCAACCAGTAATGACCTTGAACGGGTGGTTTTATACAGGCGACTGTGTCATTTACTTACCTCTGGACGGGTGGTAAATACTGGGTTGTTGGATCACCTGAAAATTACCTCCCTCCCTCTCTCCCCCAGCTTATTTCACCCTAACTTTAACCTAACATAATTTTAGCCTAACACTAACCTAATCGAGTATAACTTAATGTAACCTAACATAACGCTGACCTAACTTAATCTTACCTGACCTAACCTGCTCCCCCCTGTAGCGTTAAGGTGTGACCCAAAATTTAGTAACAATGCTACAGGTCCGACTAGGGAGACGGCCTTCAAAGTGAACTAGTGAGAATCGGGCTAAGTTACGGCCTCCAGATGCAATATGACGTTAAAAGATGATAACTCTGTCACCTCATATATCGTGTCACCTTCAGCGATCTGTTTTGTGAGGTCATCGTGGTCAAATCACATAATAAAGTGGGTCACCCTCTGTGGGTACATTATGTGAGGTCACGTTATTTACACCCTCTCGTGGGGTCATGTACTTCACCCCCCAAACGTAACACTCCTCTCAGCTGTCTTTCAACTCGTCAAAGTTCGTTCCCTGCCTCGATATTACTAATGAGATTTTCTCTGTTTGACTGAACTAAATCTGAGTTACCCGTAAGGTTGGTCCACTCTATTTGACTAAAGTTAAAGTCGCCTACAACTGTATGTGTCTGGATGTCCTGTGTATTTCATCCCAAATAACTCGCCCATCAACCCTTTTAAAATTAGGTCTATGTATGACTCCTATATTAATTTTTACTTACCAATGGTTAATTTTATCTAATTTGTTTCTGTATTCAATTCAGTTTTAATTCCCTTATTGGTTTCACATTTCAGATTATCCCTGACATAGATTACTACCCCGCCTCTTTTCCTAATCTTCCTAATAAATATGAAGTAATTTATAGCCTTTGATTTGGTATTCGACAGGTAACTCACGTTAGTGTAAGGTAATCCAGGTTTCGGTGAGTGCTATTATATCGAATTTTTCTTCAGTACAAACCAGAGCTCTGATTTCTTCTATTTTAGTTCTCACACTTTTACTGTTCGTGTAGTAGATAGTTATGTCACTTGTGATCCGAGTCCTCTCTCTGTCGCGTTTTGGGATTAACTCTGACTAATTTAGCTTTGTCGTTACGTATCCCCACGCCCACTGCAGTCTCCTCGACCCCCGTGTTCTTATAAGAACATAAGAAAGTGGGATACTGCAGGAGGCCAGCCAGGGTTGTCATCCCATCCCGAGACAGATGCACCCCATCCCTAGCATAAAGGTCCCTTCTGCCGTAAAAGTTGTCCCAGGTGTCAATGCATGAGACTGGTATTGACTTGCAACATCTGCCAAGGCGGCCGTTGACACCAGCTGCCCTTGACAACCATTCATTGCCATCTCTCCTTCTAGGCAGGACACCACATATGATAGGGATCCCTCCCTTCACCGTAATACGATCTATAGCTCACTTGAACTTATCAAGAAGCTCCTCACTCCTACACCGGCCAATATCATTGCCTCCTGCACTGAGGCAGATAATAGGTTTGTTCCCATTACCAGACAAGATATTGTCCATCCTGTCAACTATATCCCCCACCTCAGAGAGGGAAGTGCTACAACCACATGTCATCCTCCACAGCACCACAGTTTCACTGGTTCAAAGATAACTTGTATGGCCACTCCATGTCACATTATTGTGCACAAGTTTCGGTTAAACAACCCACTCCCTAGTGTCATTATATCTAATGTGTAATTTTTGTCCATTGTATATTTTCAGCTTGTAGCTATTATTCTTCTTCTTCTTATTATTATTATTACTAGTAGTAGTAGCCTAGTAGTAGTAGTGGAACACGATTTTCGGCCACTAAACCAACAACAGCCACAAACATGGTCTATGAAGTAACAGTCCACAAACTTGAGCATTTTCAGTCACGTGCTGGAGGCTGCATGTGTGGTGTCAAACAGTGGCTTCGTAACCTAACATGGCGAGAATTTGATTCTGAGTTAACATGGGTGATGCCACTCTTTTCACCCCCCCCCCTCCTCTCCTCAAACCTATTATTGTCTGCGCTTCCTGATTTACGCCATCTGTGTGTGTATGTGTTTTGTGCGGGATTAGGCCACCAGGGCACAGGTCACCACTCCACACAGTTGGGGGATGGGGAAAAATAAAATTACCCATAAATAAATACAGAAATGAAAAAGATAAAACAGATTAAAAGTAAGAAACGATATACAGTACAATATATATGTTGTGTTGTCAATAGCAAGAGAAACAAATGAGGCCCTGCAATTGTGTGTAGAAGAGGCAGAAAGTCAGTCAACTCAGAAGCCTGAGACTCGGTCACAATTTTTTTGATGCCATTTGACGGCAGGGTCTACCATTAGACAACACATTATGCTTCCAATATCCCAGGCGGTGTGTGTGTGTGTGCGCGCGCTTCGGTTGTTAGTGGTCAAAGTCATTCATTTACTCACATATTAGTGTATAATACAAACACCTCACACCTCTTCTTTCCCTCACACCTCCTCTCCCCCTTCACATCACCTCCCCCACACCATCTCCCTTATTCTTCCCCTCCCTCACACCACCTCACCTTTCTCATACCACCTTTTCCCCCCTCACACCATCTCCTCCCCCCACACCTTCCTTACCTCACATCTATCCCCCTTTACCATCTTACCACTTCCCCCAACCCTCCATCCCCCCACTTAGGAATTCCAAGGTTGAGGGGTAGGAGGGGTCAGAGAAGCAGGAGGAGGATGAAGAGAAGGAAGAGAAGGCGGAATAACGAATAGCACAGAATACATTACAAGCTTATATCACCTGAAAATTAACCCCCCCCCCCTAACCTAACCCCAGACAGGTAAATAAGGTCTAATACGTGATGAGATTGGTGGGAGGGAGGTTCTTAAGTCCTGTTGGTAGTGCCCTTGAGATAACTTTCAGATTCCCCTCCAGGAGTCGATTCTAGGATGAGGTGTTGGCTTGCTGCATGATTCTAGACTCTATCTGATTTCTGTGATAGTGGTGGCGCTGTTGATTAATTAGTTTAAAGTAAAGTAGCTGTAACCAAACCAACCTAACCTAACCTAACCTCACGCCCAAAGTAGTATTAAGTTGTAAAAGCGTTATTCCCACCATTCCACCACGCACCAAACTCCTAAGACCAGGGTGTAAGGAGTAGGTGAGAGGGAGAGGTATACGCCACGTTGCCGGATCATAATAACATTGTGCTGCAGAAGAAAATATACCCGTTATCTCCTATACGATAACCTTGACCTACGGCTTTATACTCTGTACACTGATTGGCTATACTACCCGAGCCTCAAACCTACGCGCTGATTGGTCACACTACACAAACCTGTACGCTGATTGGTCACCCAGAATCTATAAGTCATCACCACCATTCCTCTTGCATTTAATACACAATACAGCCGTAATTACATAAACATTACATGTAAACAAGACAGGGAAAAAGTGTCAACATAGCACGAAATAACACTTTAATTCACCTGTGTTCGTTAGTGTTAATTAAAGGGTAAACAACTGTACCGTTTCATCTGAACTTGAATACAATATATGGCACAGAGTTATATTACTGTACCACTGAACCATTATATCTTTGTACCACTCTAACACTGTATCACTGTACCAGAAACAATACTTTACGTATGTTATGGGGTGTGTGCGGTCGTGTTGGTTTAAGTAAGAGAGACCACACACAGTACCTACCTGACGAAGTAGTGGACGAGTCATTAGTGAGTGATTAATAGGTATGAGGCTCTTCTCCCTCCCTCCCCCCCTCCCCTGGCACTACTCTCCCCCGGCCTTCCCCATCTACCCCCCACCTCCCTCCCCCCTGACCACACTTTTTATACAACTGGGGATAAATAGGGAGACAGGAGGAGGGGAATTGTGATAGAAGGAGAGAAGGAGGAGTGGTGAAGGGGTCATGGTCAGCCTGTCCCCTTGCTTACCACCCCTCCCTTCCCCCCTTACACCCGAGGTACCCCCACAGTAAACCCTCGTCACACACTCACGTTACAAAATACATAATGTAACGTAACACAATAATGGCTGTAACACCTCCGTCACGCCGTCACCAATTGACTATAAACAATCAAGATGATAAACAAACAACATTAACAAACAAGAAACAATATTAAGAAACAACAATCAACATAACTAAACAAACGACATAAACAAACGACATAAACAAACAACATAAAGAAACAACATAAGCAAGCACTATAAACAAACTGCATAAAACATAAAAAAACGGCAAACAACATAATCAAGCATACAAACAACATAAACAAAACAATAAAAACATTCAAGCAACAAATAACAACATAAATAAACAAACGACATACATAAGTAGCGACATAAACAACTAAACAATACGGTTAAAAAATGGGAAGTGAAAGTAACTACTGACCTCAGGGTGTGGTAGAGTGCCGCTTAGTGTGTCGAGGGGCACACTAGGTGGCTATACCCCTTTTACTAGTAGTGTGTCAAGTTCACCCACACTATGAGGGGGATTAACACACTTACACCCTATGAATGACACACTAACACGCCATGAGGAAGATTGACATACACACACTAAGAGAGAGTGACACATACACACACACACAAACAGTACATAGCACACACACATACATTTACACACACACATACATTTACACACACACACACATATTTACACACACACACACATACATTTACACACACACGCACATACATTTACACACACACACACATACATTTACACACACACACACACACACATACATTTACACACACACACACACACACATACATTTACACACACACACATACACACACGACACATTTGGAATTGTGCAAACTTTTCCTTGTTCCGGGAAGGGAGGCAAGTCCCCTTCCCCCCACTCTCTCGTCTCAATTTCTCCATTTCTACTTTTTTCTCCCTCCTCTTCCTTCTCCATCCTTGTCTCCCCTTCTCCCTCCTCCACCTTTCCCCCCTATCCCTCATCCCCTCCCCTTCCTTGTCCTACTACCCTCCTCCTCTCCAGTTAATCTGCTCCTTCAGGAAGTGGCTCATGCACTGTCATGCAAGCCTTCTTACAACAGCTGGCACAGAGACTGACAAACACGAGAAAGAGAGAGAGAGAGAGAGAGAGAGAGAGAGAGAGAGAGTTGTATTTTATGAGTGAGCTGGCGTGGACTATATCGTTTATGTACACCAAAAACGGTACTGGACCGACGATGGAACTTTGAGGAACGCCATACAAAATTGGTGAGGAGTCAGATTGATGATTATTATAGCAGACATTCTGTTTCCTATCTGACAGACATGAGGTAAACCAATTGTGGGACAGGCCCCTAACGCCGTAATGTTCAAGCTTTGACAGGAGGATGGTATGGTCGACAGTATCAAAGGCTTTAGAGAGGTCCAAGAATATACCGACTGTGAACTGAATGTCATCAAATGAGTTTAAGATGTCATTAGTAAGGGACAGCAGAGCACTCCCAGTCGACCTTTTAGCTCTAAATCCAAACTGAGAGTCTGTAAGGATGTTATTGACATTGCAGAAGGAATTTATTCTACTACATGCTAGCTTCTCCAGTATCTTACTTAAGGCTGAGAGGACTGATATGGGGCAGTAATTCTTGAAAAGACCTTTGTCCCCAGATTTTTTATATGCCACTAGTGAAGGAGGAGTTACAAATGTGTAGGAGAACAGGTAGTAATAAGTGAGCCACTTTCTTAATGATGACTCATTGGTATATTGTCTTCGCCTGCTGCTGCATCTTTGTACATTTTTATGGTGGTCAATAATTCATCTGCTGTGACAGGGGATAAGAACAGCTCATTTGCAGTCTGTTTTGCAGGTGGGTGTAAGGGCGAGGATTTTCTTCTTCTCCCGTATATTCTTATTTCATACTTCTCTCTTTGTCTCAGTTCCTTCATTTATTCTGTCTAAATATTTCATTTCATGGTTACTTCATAACCTCAGTCCTTTGGTAGCATGGCGAGGATCTGAGGTCAAGTTCCCACGATGCAGACTGGAGCAGTTTAATCCTGCCATATCAGCAGCATCGTTCAATACAGCTAACTGTTAGGTAGCCACCGACCCCGGGAAGCCGGTGGGGTGTTCAAATAACCCACACACTGGATCTGGGATAATTTGAAAGGCGTGATGATGACTCAATCACAAGCAATCTTTCGTCTAGCAACGACAGACGTTTACGTTATAGTAATTCTTACCCTGGTTAAGTGACCATTTCACTGTTACAACATGAACACTGATACAGTAAAACCTCGATTAACCGACCACATATGGGGGGAAGGGGCCGACGGATAATCGAAAAGGTAGTACATAAAGTCTACGGAAATAAAACATACATTTTCAAAGTACCTTTCCCTAACCAACCTCATTTAAGTCCCTCTATTCATTTTTGTTCATTTGCCATTCATATTTCAATAGAATTTGCTTTAAAACATTAACCACTTTAGTAAATAAATATGAACCAGCACAGAAACCGTGAATAAAAAATGGAAAAGTCAAAGAACATATGTCATCACAAAAATTGTGACCAAATCCCAGGTTGCTGATCGGACTTCCTGCCTCATTTACACACAATTGCAGGGTCTCAATTGTTTATCTTACTATTGACAAGACAACATACATATAGGTATATTGTTTCTCACTCTTGATTTATTTATTTTTGCATTTCTTTATGGTTCTTTATTACTGTTATTATTATTATTAGCATTATCATTAATATTATTACATTATCGCCCCCCCAGACCCCGATGTGGGTCAGTGACCTGTGCCCAGGTGGGATAATCCCCATAAAAGGAAAAAAAAAGAAAAATTTTTTTTTAGGGGTTCAGGATTAACGGTTAATCCGAAAGTCGGTTAATCGAGGTTTTACTGTACTCACAAAATTGACTAAGTTAAACTGAATGACTACATCGGCAGGGAACACTCGCTTACATACCTGGGATAATTTGGAAGTCATCAAGGAGGGGATTTCTCCTTCTCGCACAGGTTTATATACACCTTGAGTTGCCAGAGGTGGCTACTCACGCAATGACAGAAATTACATTCAAATCAACTGCTACACATTCAAAGATGACCCTCATTTGACACGGGTCTGGCGAATTTCTTAAGTTGATTTACATAAACTAATTAGAGATTGAGCTTGCCAGGAAAAAGTGGAATATATATGTTGACAACTGTTAGTCCCCAAATGGGCGGGACAGTATATCAAACCTGTCCTGTGTAGATATATTTATTTATACAATACTTTCTTAGTACTGTAGTTATAATAGAAACAACATATCAATAGTTATTATACTAAACCTACTCTACAGTGGTCTCATCATTGTAAGAGCTCTATGTACAGTAAGTCTCCCATTGACAGCACGAGACAAACTGTTGTTTTTCTAAGTCCTAGACAAGCTGCAGGCAGGCAGTGTTACCGCCATTTAGCAATTAAAAAATCATTAAGTGTACGTACATAGTACAGTACAGTATACATGTTTGGCAAGCAAAATAATGGTTTTCTTTTCAAATGGCTATGATATACAGTACAGTATATAAAATTTTAATCTAACTTCAAACAAGAGTCGGATTTTGTTCAACCAATAACTTTAAGCTACAATTTGGCATCATACTGGCATACATGTCTCATGATACAAACACATCACCAGAAGCCTACTCACCAGTGATGACCGTTGAGACTTGCATGTTATTTACTTAGAGCCATCCATTCGTCCACATTAAATTCAGCAGCCAAGTGTGTGATTATTTATGATAAAAAAAGAAAAAAAAAGGAAAAATGATTTGTTAGATTATCCTACAAAAATGAATACTTTGCCAGAGGATTCGAATAGGAAGGCAAATATTCTGTAATGTACTTGGGTTTCTAACAGTAATGTATTCGAATATAAATACCCTGAAATGCTGTATTGATTATGAATACTTCATCCCTGTGATGTCTCAAACATACTTATTGCTGTTGGCACAATTTTCTTTAAAAAACTTATAGGATGGATCCTGAAATACCTTTTAATGACCAAGCCCATGATCTGGCAGCTCTCATTAGTGTGCTAGCTGGTGTGAGGAGTCCAGGATAGTAGACTGCTCTCATTTTAGGAGACGAGGGGTGATGTGTAAAACCACTAACCTCAAAACTCTAGAGGTAGTTAGTCTAATTAGAGCTGTGCTAGCCACCAGTACTAATAGGAAACGATGGAAAATGTATTGCTCTTAAGGCCATAACTGCACTGGGTGAAAAAAGTAACGGGCCAAATATTTGCCAAGGGTGACATAGACCTCCATAGCTTTCATATTTCATGTCAATTACAAATTGATGGTTAGGAACTAATGAATTCAACTGTAAGTCAACCTTTAATCATAAAGGGTCTATTTAATAATATACCAGGTAAGTTAAATATTTCCTCCTTTTAATATATAAACAACCACCTCTGTACATGTAACGATACTGGACTTATAAAACAAAATGGCATTCACTTGCCCCTAAAATTTATAATTAAATACATATTTACAAACCTGTGACGATATAAAATATAATAGTGAAGTACAGAGTACAGTACAGTACAGTACTCTCAAATTAAGGCTGAAGTCACATGACCCGCATGAATAAAAATCTGGCACCCGCTCATTGTCAAGTTAATCAAATTTTGTTAACTTTGGATAAATTATCTCCCTGTTTGAAACTTTCAGAAATTCCTTAAAGATGTTGCACAAACAAATCCTACACATGTTGCACACCTGCTTGTGGTTTGTTTTGTGAACAAAGTGCTCAAAAAGAAACAGTGCATTCTTTCTAATATCATGACTCACCACACACATCTATCACTCCTCCAATTAAAAATCGTTACTACTGTTTTTGTAATTTTGTAATTTGGAATTCATAAATAACATCAAATATAATTTCTGGAACCAGTATCCTTAATTTGAAGTTCAAGTTGTCAAGAAATGGCTATATGGAATGCCTTTGCTTGTTAACTTCCATTCTATATAAATATTCTAACCTTCACAACGGTTTTAACTTTAGGCATTGAAAAATTTGTCTCCACTTAAAAGCAAGGCAGCATACCCAACTCTTCACCAACCACCACCATCACATGAACACGTGTAGAGACCTAAGAACAATGCAGGAACACTTGCCTAATAAAAATCCTGCATGCTGGTCTTGTTTTCACACTAGCTGAGTAGTGTATGTATATAAGATAAACTAAAGCTTTAGCTATACAGTACTGTATCATCTTTCGACTAGCTGCTCTTCTTCTCTGTTTTCTTTTCTTCCTTCTTTGCCTCTAATTCCTCTTTACTTAGATTCCACTGTTTAAGACCTTCAGGTAAGCTGGTGTCTTCCTCAAAACTGCCAGTCCCTTCCACAAATTCTTCATAAGTAGATTTTTCCTTGAATGGTCGAGGGCCCAAGAGCTCGATCATATCATCACGACTCAAAATTTCCTGTTCCAGTAGCCTTTCAGCAATCTACGGCAAAAAACAAAAAAAAACATCAACTTGTGTTTTTAAATAAATTCTGTTATCAACCCCTTCCATACACCAACATCCTGCCATATCATCTTATTTTCTTCATTAAATCACCAAAGTAAATGAAGTTAACATTTACTCTCTTTGCAATAAAAAAATTAGGGTATTTAAATTAATAGCAGAACAAATGTTACAGTAGCTAGTACAGTAAGACCATTTATATCATGAAAGCGACAGACGAAGTAATATCTTAAGGAGAAAACAAGAGAACAATTAAGAAAAACTGAATGGGCAAAATAAATGTGTAGTGATCAAGTGGCCATGAAATAATGGCCACTTCCTCAGAGGGGTGGCCCATGAGGTGACAACCTACCAAATGTAGGTGATAACTTGTAGAAAGTTAAGCACAAACAAGGAGATTCAAATAAACTTATTTATTACAAACTAGACAATATGGGCACTTCAATCAATAAATTGTTGTAAGAAAATATGTAAGGCAAATTGTGGTTAGCCCAATACAAGGTTATCAGTGCTTGCTCCCTCTGAGTGTAAGAACTTTTACTGTACCTTCATTAGTTACATTCTGGTCATACCTTCTGTATGTATTCCTTTTTCTCTCTGAGAAGATCCAGTGTCCTTTGATATGCAGCATCTATAAGGATCTTGACTTCTTCATCTATAGCCTGGGCTGTAGCTTCACTGTAAGGCTTCTCCATGACCATCTCCCCTGGCTCAGGAAGTTGGTACACCCGTTGGCCAATACGTTCATTCATGCCATATTGGACAATCTGTGTAAGGTTCAGTTATCATGAGCAATAAAATATAATAGGTGATAAACAACCTTATACTCCTAAGCAATTCCATGTGCCACATAAAACTGCAGTGAAAATACTGTACACTGAAGACCACTCTAAACATGGGTGACAATCACTCTAGACCACTTCACCACTTACTTGAGCATAAGCTGACTTGGTAACTTTCTGCAGGTCATCCTGTGCACCAGTTGTGACTGCACCAAAGAAAATGCTTTCAGATGCTCTGCCACCAAGCATAACACACATGCGGTCAAAGAGTTGCTCTTGAGTAAAGAGAAACTGCTCTTTTGGTAAGTACTGGGCATATCCAAGACCTTTACCACGTGGGATGATAGACACCTGAAAGAAAAAGAGTTTGTACTCAAGTTTTTCTTTTGAAAGAATCAGTAAATAGAGGATTAACATATTGGTCTAGAAGTTGGAAACAAAAGTCCTGTAACCCTTAGCATTGGTGACTGTGAACTATTCTGATGATTAGTTTACTTCTGTTGCAGTGATGTCACGAAGCTTTACAACTGCACAAATTATCACAACCAAAACAACCTGTTGCGGTTGTAAAACAATCACAAACGTGGGTCGAGAGCTGAGAAATTCATTGGGCAGTGGGGCCCTCCAACCACTGTGTTGCCTTTACGTACAATATGCTACAATAATAGACACAGAGAACAATGTTTTTGTATCTTTACAGTGACAAATATTGATTAAATTGCTTAATTACAGGAGACCATTTGTGACCTTTTTTGCACAAGGAGTGTAAAAAAGTAGTAGTATTGGGATGTTTATACTCAAATTAATCACTATCTTGCAAGAATTCCAGCAATGCAAGTTATATTCTTCTACGTCAAGTCAGTAACATTTTATGAGAAAAACTTAAATTTCCTGTCTTGTATAATCCTGCACCTGCACCACTCCTCCCCTTCCACTGACAACTTAATCCTCTCTTGCTGTCTGCTAACACCCCACCTCCCCTTCCGCCCTCCTCCCAGCCAGCAGGGGAAGGGAGACAGCAGTGATAAAGATTTTACAAGAAGGGTTTTCTTAGGCTTAAACTTTTTCTCTTATAAACTGTAACAGAATATAACTTGTAATGCTGGAATTTTTGCAAGATAGCAATTAATTTGAGTATAAACAGCTCATACTTTGCACTGCAGATAAAATTTTTAGTCCTTTAGCTTAGTACACTTGAGTACAAGTTGTAAACTAGAGTAATACATTGATCAAAATTATGGCCTTTTCACAAGGAAAAATCATATGAAGAAAAGTAGAGTTTCACACAGGTGGCAGCATTAATCCAAGTTTAAAGTTAAACCAAACAACTGCAGCTGTGACTTCCTGACAACCACAACAGCAACTGCGGAGCTTTGAAATCTGACAACTGTTAGATCACTACTCTGTTGCAACCACTGCCCTAAAAAGGGATTAGAAACCATAGGTATCTCATCAAGTATGAGAGTAACAGGTCATGGTGTGTGTACTGAGGACTAATGCCTAAAAGACACATTCAGGGATTGTTTTGCCAACATGTAATAAATTTGTGTTCATGTTTTTACTTTCAAGAAAATCAAATACACACACACATACACATTTTCCCATTATCAATTTGTTCTTATTGCTGTAAAAGATACATTTTGTTCATAAACTAATTTCACCTGTACAGAGTACAAAATACCTGCATGACTACTGATATACACAAAGCAGTTAATTAAGAAAAAGTGCTAACCTTGAGCAGTGGATCAGCATGTTCCAAAAACCAGCCACAGACAGCATGACCAGCTTCATGGAATGCTACAGTCTTCTTCTCAGCTGGCTGCAACACATTAGTCTTCTTCTCCATACCAGCAACTACACGTTCAATAGCTGCTTCAAAATGTTTTTGTACGATAGCCACCTCTGCATCACGGGCAGCAATCAGGGCAGCTTCATTACACACATTGCTGATATCCGCTCCTGAAGAATAAAGATACAAAAGAAATGATCATACAATGTTAACTGCTGGAATTTGTTGTTAATGTTGTATAAAACTGTGACATATACATGTGACCATAAGTCTCGGTTGTCCTTTCTAATGTCGCAGGTGTCCTAAAGAGTAAACATAAATATTTGCTTCGGCAGAATGACTATGTACATAATGGCGAAAGAAAATGTATCCCCTGGCAGCTGGGCATTATAAATATCTCCTCCACTGCCCAGGACCTGTTTCATAACAGACACCAATCACATTCTTATATTTATGACCATACTCTGTATATTTACCAGTAAATCCTGGAGTGAGAGCTGCCATTTTCCTCGAGAGGTCATCTTTATTAAGATTCGTCTTCAATGGGGCCAAATGTACCTTGAAGATAGATGCTCGGCCTTTGATGTCTGGTGGTGGTACAAATATTTGACGATCAAATCGACCTGGTCTGAGCAAAGCCTTGTCCAATATGTCCACTCTGTTGGTGGCAGCTAACACAACCACATTAGATGTTGTGTTGAAACCTGCCATTAAAAAGTTAAATTAAAGTCCTGTTTAGATAATGAATGCCAAAATGCTATTAAGTCACAAAACACAAATGGCAAAGAGAATGGAAAATAAAATATAATACAGCACAGAGAACTGATGTATGAACCTACAATATTTTGATAGAGCTTAACCCTTTCTAAAATTAACTGGGATAAATCATATAGACATTTTGTGCCTGTGTTATTGAGAGGGAACACCAATTTGAGATCCTGGAACAAACACTATAGGCACAAGTGATCAATAATTCACTATACCCTGTACTGTATTTACAAGCTGGATGGGTCAAGATCTACTGCACTCCCCCAAAACTTGACAAAATTCTACAATGTTCATCAACTTACAGTACTATATGATCCAACTCTTTCAAGAGACAAGTGGAATCTTTTAAATTACTGTATTAAAATCATTTGGATCACCTGAATATTAAATACCCCAGCTTATTTCACCTGTTGACCAAACATCCTAATGCTAACCTAACCTATCCTAACCTAACCCTCTCAGGTAGTATAAGGGGTATTTAATCATCAGGTGAAACAGACTGGGTATCTAATCTCCAGGTACAGTAATGCAAACTAAGTATTTATTTCAAGTGGTACAAAGAAGCACATTTACCATCCATCTCCACTAGCAGCTGGTTCAGGGTGTTCTCCTGCTCTGAGTGGCCACCAAAACTCCGCCCGCCGCGCTTCCTCCCGACGGCGTCAATTTCATCCATGAAAAGGATACATGGAGCATTCTTACGGGCCATTGCAAACATGTCTCGCACCTGGTGAAGAATAACATCAACATTACAAACATAATAACAAAGACTAACAAACAAATAACTACATTATAAACAAGACATATAACAATACAGTGTTCTTTAGTACTGTTACCTGAAGACCAGTTACCATTATGAAAATCTCCTTATGGTTTTAGTCATATTAAAATCAATTTCTTCCTGTCCACTCCCTACTAACTTATATTTTCTATTTAAATTTTCTCACAATATCAACACTCTTTGTCACTTCTAAAAATATTTCCTGTGATATAACTGTCAATGATTAATAGCAGTTAGCCATTTCAAATTTTTCCATGACTACAGATCCAAAACTCTTACATTAATAATACGTTTCTACACCTCTGATACGGTAGCTACTTTGTTCCTTCCTGGAGGCGCCACTGAAGAAGGTATGGCCAAGGTAATTCAACCACCAAAACTTCCTCATGCAACATCTATTCTGTGTAGTCCCTCAGTTTCCTCTCCAACAATCAAGCCAAATTTGCCTCACTCTTGTGTACTTTTAAGTCTCATTATCCATTGTCTTCTCAACATGTCCTAAACACCTAGAAGTCTTCCTCCTAATCCACTATCTATAACCAATAACCCATGGCTCTGGTTTATCCTTATCCATCCTAAATCTATGATATAATTTGTAGCTGTTTACTCAGTACCATATAACAGCACAGTTATCTCCCATGAATATATAATTTTTTTACATCTGAATTCTACAACTACCAAAGGTTTTCAGATAAATCAGGTCACGAGTCTTCAAGAACAAAACCAAACAAGATAGCGATCAAATATTGAAACTTAAAATGAACACAGTCGGGTTAAAAACTCATCATGTGTGATATTAAGTCTTGCAAACTTGACTAAAACTCTCTCCAAAAGATGTTCCTTCTCCCTCATTACATCATACATCTGGGCTTCTTTAAACATTTACAGAGATGATGTATTTATTATCTATAACTTTGTCTCTTTACTGACTTATTCAGCTTAGACAGTGGAATATGAGATGACAACTAAGAGCAACAAAAAATGTATATGAAGATACCAGCTCAAAACACAGGCATTAAAGAACTATTATTCAGCTGGATAATATCATACAGCACTGTAGTGGGTTAAAATTCCTATAGCTACCATAAGAGGAGTAAAGTAGTACAGTACTTACACGTGAGGGACCCACACCCACGAACATCTCGAGGAACTCTGAGCCCGAGACATAAATGAATGGTACGTTGGCTTCACCAGCAGTTGCCTTGGCTAAAAGTGTTTTGCCTGTTCCGGGGGGTCCTGTGGTAAATAGAGTACAGTATTATATATAAAGTTCTCAAGTAATTTGTTGGGCAACTATTTCTTTTCTAATAGCATACCTGATTTGTAGGTCATGATGAATAATGACATAGTAAATGCTAGTGCTAACAAAAAAATAATATTAATAATACAAAGATACAAAAATGTTAAGTTTAGCTCCCACATTATCTATCATTTACGTCTTGTCTACATTCACAGTCAGATGAAATGTGGTGAACCTTCCCAGAACATTTCTACCACTACCATCCTTACACTAGCAAGAGTTAGGTTCTCAACTACCTACCTCAGAAGATATTAATACAGTAATTATCTAAACAGTAATTAGTAGCCTGACTCTTCTACTTCCGTATTTCTGGTTGAATGAAGTTATTAGTCATGTACCAGTAACTTCTTTCAGTACCATAAAGATTAAAAGAGAGCCATTTTTTAAATAAATGTTGGTAATCCTTGCCTGTAAGTATGGCACCCTTGGGGATCTTGGCACCAAGCTCAGTGTACTGCTGGGGGTTCTTCAGGAAATTGACAAATTCCATAATCTCCACTTTAGCCTCTTCACATCCTGCAACATCTCTGCAACAAGTTACCAGCAGCTAAGTGAAGGGTTACAAGTTAAATATCTTCATCACTCTAAATAGAATCGTGAACTGTGTCAAAGAGACCAAGGTGGGAGTGTGAAGCACAGACTCGGCATGCCAGGGGAAAGAGCAAATTAGAAGCAAGAGATATAACCTGCATGAGATGTGTATGTGGGGGTAAACATAAACAAGATGTAGAGAATAAGAGATACTACAGAGCTAAGGAGATGTGGATATGAAAAAATTATTGGGGAGAGAGTGGATGATATGTATAACAAACAATACAATCACAATAACCAACTTACCGGAACTTAACACCAATGTCTGTTGGGTTGACCATCTTTGCTGTGGACTCCATCACCCCACCAAAAAGGCCTCCACCCTTCCGTCCACCAGACCCTCCCATCATCTGGGCTGATCTCCTCATCATGAAGATTAAAAATCCTAAAAAATAAACACAAAGAAAATAAACAAGAGCAACAAGGGCAAAAGAAATCCCATGCCTGACTAAGTGTAGATTGGGGTGTGTGTATGTGTGGGTGTTCTCCACCTAGGTTATCCCTCAAGACCTGGTACAGTACACAGGTAATGAAGGGCACTGTTGTTGTATTGGTAGCAGATTCCAAAGTTTAACTAGGTTCCCATCTAGCAAACATTATGGCTGACTATTCTTTCCACATGAGGGACGACATTAAATTCTACACAAGACTTATGCATGTAGCACTATTGTTTATACAATATGTGGAAAATAATTTGCCAAAGAAATAAATAATAATCACATACTGTATGAAATTAACTTTACCTACCCAAAGAAACAATGTAGAGTATAATCATTTATTTATACACAATCCTTCAATACAGAATTATTTAACCACCACTACTATACCTATTATCAGTAATGTAGGCAGGAAGGATGTCAGTGTTGATGCCTCCAGCTCATTTTTGTAAACAACTGGGATAAAGTTGCTGGGTTCAATGCCCGACTCTATCTGTGCTGTCTCTACGTTGCGTTCAAAAGCATCAACTGAACCTATGCTGAACCATAGTGTAGTCTGGAAGAAAGTAAACAAAACCTTAAGATACATTTGAGGTTTTATTAATGTACAGGAAACATTAATTCTGTAATGCATATCATAAATTAAATCACTTCTGTTCTTCCACAACCCAGAAAGTTGTAAACAGCAGAGTCACCTTCAGCTCCAGTGTACAGGACAGTACTACAGGTAGTTCTGCTATAACGCGATAATTGTGTTCTTGTAAAATATCGTGTTATAGAAAATCGCGTAATAGAAATAACAGGGCTTATGGAGAAAATAGGGTTAGGTGCAGATTACTCGAAATCGAAAAAATTTAGTAGTTAGCCTAACACAAAGGATAGCACAGTCTAAATAAATGTTACATTCATATCTAATAATGAAATCATACAGTAAATTTAACACTTTACCTTGAAAAAATATGAATGTAACTTGATGGGGGAGAAGGGTGATTTTGAGGTTGATAACATCGAGCTTCTCTTCAAGTGTTATATCCTTTCTTTTACGATAATCACCGGGAATTCTATCATCAGAACGCCTTTTGGAGATATTCTTCTTTACCATATTCACAGTTAATACCACAAAATTGGAGAAATAGTAAGCAAAAATCGCGTTATAGCAAACAAGCGTTCGCGTTATACAAATATTGTTCCGAATTCATAAATCGCGTTAGAGCAAATTCGCGTTATCAAAACACGCGTTATAGCAGAACTCACTGTAGTTATCTTTTCAAACACTCTTCCATAGTTTGTCACTCTACCTAACTGACCAAAGAGTCCTGCACTGTTTGTCATTTCAACAATTAATATACACATGAGTTACAGGAATCAATGACTCTGGGGTTCCCCATAAATTAGTCCCTTCACTGAATGCTTTACTTCTCAGCAGTCTTTGTCCCTTGATCTAACACTTTGAGACATGGCCCTTCACTCCCCCAGGAAGTGTTCCCAATAGTTCTCTCTCTTAAACACTAACAACTGAGTTTGTCCAATGTCACGCATCTTCTTAATTAGTCCCATTACCAACCGATCAATCACATTATACTATTTCCATGTCTCATTTTGTTCCCCATTTCTCTCATCTCTCAATGTACACTGCACCTAAGAACTCAAAATCACTTGTTCCTATTTGCAGTTATACTAAAGAGTTTGCTATTTCTTCAAACTATTAATTTAAAATAAGAAATTAAGGTGTTAGGAGTATGGAACATACGGTACTGTATCATAAAAGGAACCAACAATAAGACAATCTGCTCTTAATTGTTCCCCAATTAATAGTGGATACAGCATTCGCCAACTGTTCCATGGGTCGGTGGTTTGATCCCCGGGCATTCCCAGTTCACCATACTGTAAATAGGTACAGTACTGTACCTAAGGTTACAACTTGGGGAAGTGAATGCGACCTGCTACCCCCTTGTGTACCGAAGGCTTAGTAGTATACAATGAGCTGGATTCACACTGTTCTTAACAGGTAGTCATGGCTATGGGAACCACTTTCACAAATATACATACTGTACAGTACTTACAGCTCCTTCAACTTGGTTACCCGGCATCAGTTTCACTCGCACCCATTTCTTGTTGATGACTTCTAGCTTCTCAACAATACCTTTGGCCAGATAACTGAAAGAAGATACTGTATAAGATTTATTGAAAACTGACACTTAAAAATTTAACAAAAGTTCTTTTAAATTTATATGTAACTTGCACCATAGACCTACCTCTTTACTTTACTTCTGTATCTCATCTCCCAATTAGAAAACACAAAGATTAGGAATCCCTGTTTATTGCAACTGATGACCTAACCAGTAATGGTGTTGAATCACCAGGTAAAAAAAATGGATTTCCTAATTATGATGAGCTCTTCAAATGTCTCTCTTCTCCACACTGAACTGTAGCTACATACAGTAGGTATTTCAATAAACAGTTATCTTTTTACTTACTTTTTAGCAAATTCTTTCCAGGTGATCTCTCGATAACCCATCTGGTAGTACGCTGCAACCCCCAAAAACCCCATAGCAGCCAAAGCAGCGAGGGCTAACCATCGATCACGTTCACTACCTTCACCAATTGGTTTGCCGCCACCACCGCCTCGTCCACCACCTCCAGATCTGAAAAGTGGCAATACATAAAGAGCTTATAATAAAGTTACCAAAAACTTAAACAACAAAGAATAATTTCAAATTTCCCATTCTTAAATATGAGTATCCTTTGCAGTTTGACAAATGCACTAAAAATCTCTTTAACCCCTTCAATATAGGAAAACTTTCAGTATTTCATTTGCTCAATGCCTAATGATTTTATTTAGCACAAGGAATTACGTAATGTGACAAAACTGTAGTGCACTCTATTCCATGTTGTAGAATATCAAAATCAATAGTTTTTTGTCCATTAAGATACAGTTGCCCACAGGTATAGAGTTCCACCCCTTGGTGGCAGTTGTTGGCAAATGGTCTCCTCATGTTACCGTTTCATTCATAAAGTGATTCTGACGTTGCCACTTGTTCAAAAAGGCCACCAACGGGTGGAACACTATACCTGTGAGCAACTGTACTTGTTACTCTCAATTTCTCTGCAAAAACAATATGACATTTAGCTATGTCTAAAGTTAACACAGCAACACATGGGACAATAATATAAATCATACAAAATCTTGTCAATTAATGTAAAGTACAAGTGTTTCATAAATGACCAAAGAAAAGAAATCAGGGGCCAGCAAGATCTATACTGTACTCCTGTATCACCCCGAGAGAGCTGTCTCCCCCAAGTGTAAAGGAGTCACAGGTCTCTACATGATGGCCTATACAGTATATATGCTATAAAATTTAATTTTTAAAATACAGTAAAACCTCCATGTAACGGACTTCTCTCTGCATATAATCCGTGAGATGGGGGTTTCACATCTAACGGACCCTTGATATAACAGACTTTAATATCTATATAGTTCGTTGCATGGGGTTTCATATCTAACTGACCCTCGATATAATGGACTTTCCTCTCTATACAATCCCTTATATGGAGGGTTTACTGTATTGTAAACAGAAATTAATAAATATGGATCTAATGAAGATCAGGCATCCCTTCTTTTTTTCCCCTGATGATAAAATACCTTAATGCTAACCTAGACTAACCCAACCATTTAGCACTATGGTGTTAAATCGTCAGGTGAAATAAGCGGGGATTTCTAATTTTCATAATATCTGCAAGTTTGAATACAGGAGAACTGTCTCATACTCTCAGTATATAGCACAGTATGTGTAGAAGTAAACAGAATACAGTACATTAAAAAAAATACACAGAGTAACTTACTTATTTCCTGAGCCGAATAAATTAATGTTAAACGGGTCCTTCGGTTTTGAGGGTTTATTTGTGGGTTCTGGTGGAGGATCCGTCTTGGGCGTTGGCTTGGCATTTCCGGTTTGACCCTGTTTACTGGCACTACCACGGAAATATTTCTCAAAGCCCCGGGGAGGCTTCTGACAGAAATGTTGCCATTGCTGCAGTAGTGTTGTGCTCCATGGTAGATTAATGTGTGATAGGTGCTGTCCTATCTGTAGAACCAAGAAACTTTGCAAATTGGTAAAAAAAGGTGGAACCACCTGAAAATTCACCCCCCCCCCCCTGTTTATCTCACTAATGCTACCTGTTGGGCTTAGTTAAGGTGAACATTAGGAGGTTAATATTTAGGTGAAATAAGCTTGGGTGATCCAAAAAGTGTTACTTTAGCAAATACATTCTTACAGTATACTGTATTACTCTGATTCAGTGACTGCATTGAGTGTTTACTGTGGTGTGACTGAATAAAATGCCCTCACCAACATACTCTGATTTACTAAAACTCAGTACAGGTACTGTATTATACCATTAAGAACCAAACAGACTGTGAAGAGCTGCAGAAAGATCTCCATGAGCTTCAAGAATGGTCGAGGAAATGGCTGCTAAGATTCAATGTCAAGAAGTGCAAAAGGATGCAACTGGGTCGCTTCAATAGTAAGAAGGCATATCACATGTCCCAACAGGAAGAGACTGCATTAATTGAGACTGAATGTGAAAAGGACCTGGGTGTGTATGTTGATAATGAACTTAAGTTCTCGGGCCATTGTGAGAAGAAGGTGAATCAGGTAATGAAACTAGTAGGTCTTACGAGAAAGATTTAGGATTAATGATAAGTAAGAATCTTAAATTAAGTAAACAATATGCATTTGCTCGAAACAAGGGGAATAAACTACGTGGGTTTATGCAAAGGAGTGTTAGTTACAAGACTAGAGGTCATCCTTAAACTATATCTTGCGCTTGTGAGACCTCACTTGGATTACGTAGTTCAATTCTGGTCACCGTACTACAGAATGGATATAGAATCCCTAGAAAGAATTCAGAGGATAATGACAAGACTAATCCCGGGCATTAGGAACCTTGAGTACACAGACAGGTTAAAGCATCTTAATTTGCACTCCCTCGAGAGACGTAGAGTGAGGGGTGATATGATCGAGGTGTATAAATGAAAGACAAGGCTAAACAAAGGGTGACATTACAAAGGTACTCAAACTATCCAACCAGGAGTGAACTCGTAACAATGGTCTTAAATTAAACAAATTTAGATTTAGGCGTGAAATAGGTAAACACTGGTTTGGAAATAGAGTAGTGGATGAGTGGTACAAGTAACTAAACATCATCATTAACTCGAATACGCCGGATAGCTTCAAACATACAGTAGGTTGGATGGATATGAGCGATAGGGGCTGGGTGTAAATGGGACTGTCCAGTACTGGCCAATAGGGTCATTTAGATATCTGGATGGTCAATCACTCATCATGATCTTCAAGAGTGAGGTGCGGTCCCACTAATTACCCAAATGTACCCAAATGTAGCCACAATGAAGTCAAATGATGGTCATACAAGCGTAAATCGGGCTGTGAATCACTTCTCAATTAGTATTTGGTGTCATAAAGTCACAAAAAATTGGTAAACTTAATTTAATCTGAGTTAGGTTAGGTTAGGTACATGCACTCAATCTATTAACTCAGATTAAATTAAGTTTACCAATTTTTTGTGACTTTATGACACCAAATACTAGTCGAGAAGTGATTGGCAGTCCAGTTTATTCATGTAGGACCATTATTTGACTTCATTGCGGCTACATTTGGGTAATTAGTCGGACCCGTGAGGTGCTTTCCCGTCTGGAGTATTGTCACCCCGTCTGGTCCCCAATGTATGCTAGAGACTGTCAAATGATTAAAAATGTCCAAAGGAGGGCTACCAGACTGGTACCGGCTCTACAGAACCTCAGTTACGCAAATTTTTTTCGACCAATCACATTTGATTTTTTCTCAAAGGAAGCAGCCTGGGTATGATTTTAATTTCATTGACCAGTTTCACAACGGTCATGGTGAAGGTTGGTTGTCGTTTGTGCTCCTACGATTATTTTAAATTTATTGCCGAGATTTACGAGAAAGACGATCATTCTATCCAATTCCTACGTATCCTTGGTCCTTCCACTCCTAACTAAGGTATTGTAATTTCGGACATGGCGCGCACCAGAGATTTTAACAACTGAAACATTTAGGTTCGTTTAAGCTAGGCCTACAGGGGGTCCAGGTGTTAGGTCAGATGACTCGTTTTTTTTCCCCCATCCAAAAACCCTGATTTTTCAGCTCTTCCCCATTATTGTTGGGGAGGAAGGCAAAAATTAGCAATTTCCGCCAAAATGAAGGTCAGATTTGTTTAAAACACACCAAAATACAATGGAAAAACATATTGGTCAACCCCTAGAGACTAATGTCCTAAAGTAAAGATTTACCGAAAGAATATATAATCAGGAAAAAACACCAAAAGAGCATAAAGAGGTTATTTCCACTTTGGGAAACAATTATAACACAAAATATCTCTCACCACCACAGGATCCAGTGACCCGGTCCTCACGCCCTTCTGCAGTAGTCTGTCAAGTCTTCTAGCAGCTGTCAGCAACCGGTGAGCCATCTTGTGGTTGAGTGGTGGTGCCTGATTGTCCTCCCTTCTGTACTAACAACAATAATAGGACATTTAGGTAAGTGTTCACCTCAGGCACAGGTTACATCATGTCCCTCCATCGTCTGCTTCACCTCTCTCTCCCTAGTAGTCCCCACCACTCTTCTCATACAAACCTTATTTAATATTATTTTATGGAGGTTTATATAGAAAATTAGGGTAAATTGTATACAAATTTAAAAGATAATTAATGTGAGTTACCTTCTGACTGGTGTGACTGATGAATATAAATCTAGTTCTCGGGAATATAAAATAGGAAATTATTAGTTATGTAAATAAAAGTTTAGTGTTAAAGCCATTAAGAAATATATAGTTAATGAGATTATAACACCAATTTATAGTTGTAAATATTTAGATTACATGAGAGAGTTAAGCTTTGTTGAGATATATTAAGTTGAATTATCTAATATACTGCACCTACCCCCTCAACCCCCTACAGTGTCGAAACATTTGTGAATCTGTATGTTATTTATTATTTATACAATAATAATCTATTTAATACAGCTTTTATAACCAAAAATATATATCTATTGGTGTTTTATATCTGTTATGAGTGAGTGTCCCTGAGAACCACCAGTGTTGAGGGTGAGGGAGGCAGACTTTGTTTACTTGACGCGGCCTGTACAGCATCATGCCCAAGTGAGTCTTATTTACCTCTCTTCTCCTCTCCTGTCTCACACCTCAAGGAGCCAGTCTGTGTGTGTGTACAGTTAATGTCTATGTTTGTTCTGTTAAGTTTTGGTGGGAAGGGGAAGTTCTGAGGGTAAGATATGAGGGTTTGTCTCTAAATTCTTCGATGTTTGGCTGGCATGTGGCTACAGGCCGACCGTCATCCAGGCTCTGATTGGTATTTTTTTTTATAGGATTTGGACTTAACTAAGTTAGGAAAGGTTAGTTCAGGTTCTCAAAGGTTTGTTTGGCGTTTGAAAATATTAATCTGGAATGTGACAGGGTGTGTGCGGAAACTACTCAGATATTCAATATTTATACTGCAGTTATGTGTTGGTTTATGTAAATTCAGTGAAGGTATGGAGGCTGTGGTGTGATTTTTACAGTTAATATTTAGTAGTTACCACTACCTAACTGAATATTGAGACATATATGGGGAAATAGAGAAAGTAAATTTAAAATGTTTTTTTCTGTTTCTGTCGGAAATTTTTAAGTTTTTTGAAAAATTTCCACGTTATTTTAACTTTTATTTTATAACATTTGGTCAATCAGTGTGAGATGGATGTACATTGGCTGGCTGGTGCATTATTCAGTGCATTTTGGACAATGAAGCAGCAGCCATTGTAATTTTTAGGGCTCACGGTGTTCTTGTTTCATGTGTAAAGTGTCCAGGTGTAACTCAGCGTCAGTACCGTGTAGATCGCCCTGCATGGTGCTGTGGTAAGACGGACGCTGATGAAGACACCACTGCCTCATTCAAGTCGCATCACTATATCCTCCAAGGAAAGTTTCTTACACACTCGGGGTTAGGTTAGGTTTTTAGTTTTTTTTACATTGTTTGACCTTCCACTTTTTTTTCTTCAATATCCCAACTTCTGCTCATTTCCAGTGGTAATTAAGGTCATATTTGTATTTAACATGATTATTTACACTATAAAAACCCATTTTCAAAAGCCTACTAGATGGTAGCAACTACTAAATATTTACCCCTTTTTACTTCACATGAGTAAATTCCAAACAACTGGAATAGCTAATCTTTTCCTGAAATGGATTAAACTGAGAGTAGGGTTTTAGTGTCATAAATTCATAAATAATCACAATCTTACAAGGACGATGTTAAGTATTAAATTGAAAGTTTGTGTTTTCTGTTGCGTTAAAAAATCTGATAATATACTGTAACAGATTTTGTCTTACTCATTGCCCACTTTGCATTTCAGATACTATTGCGACTACTGTGACACGTACCTGACACATGACTCGGTAAGTAGCTGCCACTTTTACTGTATGGCTGTATCTGTTACATAGTTTTAATTGGAATCGCCTGAAGATTGGACACCTAGCTAATTTTCCTTACCTGAATGTTAACCATCCTAATGCTACTTGAGGAGATTAGGTTAAGTTTTGTTGTATAGTTAGCATTAGGGTGGTTAGTTGTTTGTGAAATAAGCTGGGGTGTGGAATCTTTAGGTGATTCTTGAAATTAATAAGAAACCATTACTTGTGAGATCTTATTGTTTGTTAAAGTATTCTGGGTGAAGGACTTGACTGTTTTAAATTACAGCCATCGGTGCGTAAGACTCACTGCCAGGGTCGAAAACACAAAGAGAATGTCAAGATATATTACCAGAAGTGGATGGAGGAACAAGCTCAGTCACTGATTGATGCAACGAGTGAGTACCATTATCTTCCTCTCATGTTCAGTACAGTATTTTATGTTGCAAGTGTACAGTACTGTTGAAGCATAAGGATCACTTCTTTAATAATTCCATTCTTTAGTTATGATTTTATGTGTTATAAAATTAAACAAGATATTCATTTTTTTTATAGCTACTGTATAATTATAGTACATAGAGAAATTGTACTGTATTTTATTACGTTTGTTTTTATTATTAGAATGGTGTTACAAAACAAATCTTTTCCAGCTGCTGCATTCAAAGCTGGGAAGATCCCCAAGGGAGCAGCCATTCCACCACCCTCCAGTATGCAGGGTAAGACCACACTGAATTGCTAAATTAGCCTGACATTTTATTGAATCTTAACAAGGTCTTGTGAATACTGAATGGCTTTACATTTGGTAATGTAAATAATCCAGACAAGTAAAAGTAACTGCCAGTGAAGTGGTTGTTTTAACAAATATCATGTTGTCCCACAGGTGGTCCAGGGGGCCCACCAGGTGGGCCAGGAGGACCAGGTGGACCAGGGCCTCAGAATATGGGTGGCCCAGGGGGTCCTCCAAGAGGTCCAGGTATGGGCAACATGGGCCCTCCTGGCATGGCTGGTGCAAATATGCCAGGCAGCATGGGTATGCCCCCGATGGGTCCACGAGGGCCCATGATGGGACCACCAATGATGGGTGGCCCACCAGGTCCGGGGATGCCACCAGGCATGATGCCAGGTAAAGACTTCATCCCAGTTTGTATTGGATTTCATATACTTAGATGTTGCAGTGATGTGTATCCTATCCAAATTATTATGTGACTTAAGTTATCACACCAGCATTGTTAGCATTGTACAACTGGATTTTTATACCAACAGTTGTGTCACCATAGTTTAAAAGTACGTACATGTAATCAAAACTCAAACATTTTTTAATATTACAAACTTTTCCACATGTTGTACAGTACATCCACTCCAGAAACTTAAAAAAAATTATTTTTCAGGTATGCGACCTCCAATGGGTGGCCCCATGGGACCAATGATGATGGGGCCCGGTGGAATGCGACCTCCGATGATGGCTGGACCTCCACAGATAAGACCGTAAATCATATTTTTGATAGACTTATTAGTGGAGGCTAATGTGCACTACAGAAAACTTTGGCTACTTGGTGACCTTAAGACAGTTATACAATTTTGGATTATGCAGATACAACATTAACTTTAAACTTACTATTGAAATTTATTCTGACTTATGTTACAATATATATGAAAGAAAGAGTAAGTTGTGGTAAATCACTTTTCACCCCAAAACAATAGACCCAATATTAATGAGCTCAAAAAATATTACACCAAAGAAATTGCTTTGAAGAATGTAGTAATGCCTGACTAATGCAGTTATTGTAGTAGTGTACAGTATGTTGGTATTATACCTGGACTCATACCCAGTCCCATCCATATTTTAGGTGTCATGTGATCCTTTTCAACCACCTCAGTCAATGAACATCTGTACATCTTAATGTTAAGAGATTCCTCATTGGAATAATTCCTCATTTTATTAATTGGTCTCATTACTGAATGAGACTTTGTGCGCGGATTGAAGGTTTTATCAGCATGTATTATAAAAGCGCATTTAGAAGTAGGAAAAAGTAACAAAGGTGCAGTTAAGAATTCTCATTTCAGTGGTGTATAGTTTAATTGTGACAGTGAAGTATAGATGTGAAGCAGAGAAAAGTATTGCTCATGATGTTTTCTCAGGCAAACTGTTTAGGATTATTAGAGATAGAGGAAAATTAGACAAACAGTTTTTAATATATAGCAGTGAAACATATCACCTATGCTTGATTACATTTTTAAACTAACTCTTGATTGAGAAACAGTTTTTGTTGATGGGACAACTTGTCCATTAGTAAAACATTGGTTCCTGGTCAAGGTTGATATAACAATTTATAACTTGCTGTAGGGGGTGTGTGTGTTGTTGTTGAACTGCTATCATGGACCACTTATCCATTTTTGCAGCTATCTATTTCAAATTGAACAGCTAAATTCCAGATATATTATGTGTCGTACCACTTGATCGTTGAAGACCTGGGTCTTGGATTAGTTGGGGTTTTGAGTAGATTTTTATAACTTAACAAGCTGTCTGACTCATGTTTGGTATACTCTATCTGGTTTATATTGTACTTAAAAGATGTACGAAGTGCTGTAGTCTTTCATATGTTGATCCAATGTTGCGAAATATGAAATCTAGCTCGGTATTATTCACACAGCCTCTCTTTATAAGGTCTGTTGAGCCTATAATGAATTATTACCAACATTAATGCACTATGTCTGACTACTAAATTAGCATCTTCTTTCATACCCATATTACAAGGCACCATAAAAAAAATGTCTTTTATTATTAGAATTAGAGTAGCTTCCCACTGTGTGGGTTGGCTGCTGTAGAATATATTTGTATTATCTTGGACAAGGATTCAAGTTTAACACAGCAAATCCTACAAGTACCATTATGAGCATCTTGGTAGTACTGTACTGTATGTAAAATGGCCTTCTGTTTTCCAGAAGATAACTTGTGTGTTTGAAGTATAAATGAATGGTTGTAAGTTTGTTTAAATTGGCTTCTGTAAGTAGGAGTCAATGAAGTTTTTAATTATTTACATACAGTTTGAGAAAAAATTTGTGTTTTGTAAACCTTATATATAATGAAACTCGGCATTAAGTGGCAAGGAGCCCCAGAGTAAGAGAAAAGTGATAGAGAATAACAACATTTGCTGTGTTGTGGAAAAACTTTAAAATGTAGAAGGAAAACTTCTCCGTGAACTAGTGACACTGCACCACTGTACTATATTCACCTTGGTATGAGAGCACCATTTGTCTATCTTGTGATTAACAGTGCAAGTTCACACTGGTTTCTTGCATGTCTTATGACATTTACCATTAAGTTCAGTGCATTAGCTTATGTAGCATAACTGATCAAATCAATGTTGGGTTATGTCTGATACATGATCTTAAAAGACAAAGTACAGGTAAACCTTGGTATACGATCTCTATATACTGCATTTTACTTTCACATTTACTTCCAAGTACAGACTGTGTACAGAACTCTATACTTTTATCAGTATCATCTTATATACCTATTGCCGTCTGACTCGTATCTATCTTAGGCTATATTTCTAACCTCAACCAGAATGCCAGATAAGACTTTGCTAACTATTGGCAAGATAACATGAATGTGTGTTGATGTGCTTTTTGTTCACCTTGAGGTCTTGGTGATATTGTATGGAAATCCTGAGCTAAAACTATGATAAAGTGTTTCTACTGTAGATAACCACATACTGTACAGTGCAGTGGTATGGGGTTATATTTTACTATAAATTAATGAAGGAGTAAGAAACAAGGGTTGATACCTCTCAAATTTATTGGTCAATTCATGGAGACAATATTTACTGTGCTAACTATTCCAGTCACAGCCTGCCGTGCAATCATATATAAATATTTACCAAAACATTCCACTTTTGAATGGCTGCTCTCACATTGTTTGAAGATTTTGTATTACTCAAGTACTTATTAGTCTCGGTCCTTAACAACATGAACTGAAGGACACTATATGACAAGATATTCTGAACTGTTTTATGTGAGGCTTCATACAAGGTAGTGGGAGTTTGAACTGTGTGATCTATTAATGCGAAGATACTTCAAATAAAAAGTAATTAATGAGACTAGATCACAAAATCCAGATACGTATAAGAGTGGCTGAATATTTTATCAAAGTTATCCACAAGTTTTAACTTTGTGTCAGGTTTCATAACACAAGACACTGGACAACGTTATCTGCTAATTATCTGGTACATTCTCCATGAATTAATACAAAATTAACCTTTGTCCAACTTTTGATTTTTGTCATATGAACACTTTTGAAAAAAATTAAGACAACATAATTGTGAATTCCTTAAATCAAAAATTAACACTAAAATAGTAAATTCCTTATTGTGCAGATGTCTATTCACCCATAATAATTGCCTGGTTACCTTTATAATTCCTCTCGTCGCCACGTGACTAGCTGACGAACAAATCCCTGGTAGTACAGGACGGTATGTCATGCCTGTGTATCACAATAATAGGGATTGTTGTGATTTTGCAATACTGAACTTAAAGTATCACAAGTGGGAAAAGATGCCTCATTCGTCCCCAGACAACTGAATCTTCGTCTGACTCCATCATGTCATCACTGTGGCCATCATCACTGTGGCCATCATCACTGTAACTGTCAATCCTGAAAAAAAAAAAATATATATATATATATATATATTATATATATATATTTTATATATATATATATTATATATATATATATATATATATATATATATATATATATATATATATATATATATATATATATATATATATACAAATAAATCACTGTAGGTGCACGTGATCTAGGTATATGCTGATAAACCACAAGGAAAGAAGAAAACACGGTTCTAAGCGCTTCTTAATTACATATATATATATATATATATATATATATATATATATATATATATATATATATATATACATACAAGTAAATCACTGTAGGTGCACGTGATCTAGGTATATGCTGATAACCATGAAAAAGAAAACCAGTTCTAAGCGCTTTCCTGTAATTCACATATATATATATATATATATATATATATATATATATATATATATATACAGTATGCTGATGACCACCGAGGGGGCAAGACCCAATAGGTTTTACATGTAATTCACATTCTTCAGTGAGTCTAGCTAGTCTGTACCACCCTGAAGATCAATACTGTGAACCGTTCTTTCCTTGTGATTTATCAGGCATATATAATGCGATATATTTTATATATATATATATATATTATATATATTTTATATATATATATATATTTTATATATTATATATATTTTATATATATATATATTTTATATATATATATATTTTATATATATATATATTACATATATCAAGTACTGTACTGTATAAGAGTTTTGGTAGAAGCAACAGTCTTAGGTAAAGAGATCAACATTAGACCGAATAAGTGGAAAATATTAATCCCTACCCTAGTGCAGTGAACCCTAGATCGACCGGACTGATTGGGAGAGGGGGTGTCCAGATTATCCAAAATATAGAAAAGAATGCATTACAGGTGTAACTGAAGCATTATAAATGAATTCAACCCAAAATATTACTTAACTTACTAAATGATCAATAATTGAAAATAATAAATACATTATCTAAAATACTATAAGTTCTTAACTTTAAAATAACAAAACATCACCTCATGATAGCATAGAGAACTTTAAAGTAAACTTTTTATTTTATCTTTGTTTTTCTTAATATCACAGACACACTGTTTAGATAAGCCAACTCCTGCATGAGTTTTGCTCCAGTAGGGCTATTCTCACACTTCTCTTTAATTTTAAAATTTTCTGCAATAATTATAAACACGTATTCTTTTTATCTCACTATTTCTGTTCTTGGGAGCCATTTTAAACACTTTGCTGGAGTTAAGTTACAAAAAAGAATAACATTTGTGGGAGAGCCCATCTCTGGTGGTAGATAAACACCAACTGATGCCATGTAGCTGCCAGGTCAGATGGCTAGGACCACCGACAGTTCACTACACTGTATTACATTCATACTACCACATACTTGCTTCAAAACTTGACAAGTTCACGTTTGCAAATAATATTCAAAGGATGAAATGCTAATTGCCAATGACACTTACCAGGGTCTGCGAGGTTTGTAAACTATCTGTATTTCAAAGTTCTCCAACTCTGTCTCTTTCAGGAATGCATTGTACTCCTCAGCTGAAATGTTCCAACCACCTGGAGGACAAAATAACCACATCATCATCACATTGCACCAGGAAAAGTAGCTCATACTGGACGATAGAGAATTGTTAAACCAGACTACGTACCGATTTGTACATATTTGGGATCTCCGAATTTTTTGGGGGCCACTTCTACCACTACTGTACAGTAGCGTAACATTCTTTACAGTCAGTGAATATATGTAAGAGTGTGTGTGTGTGTGTAACTAATAGTACACAATTACACAATGAATATTAAAATCACTCCCCTAAATTTTGCAGTTGTAGCAGGTTTGGGCAATGTTTTACAAGTTTTCTAGCTGAAGATACGGTGAGTTTTGGGGCTCGATTAACGTCAAATTCTGTTAACTTCTCCAAACTTTTGTTTCGTATCAGTTGGTCCACTCTGTCATCATTCATCTGTAAAAAGAAAAAAAGTTACTCCTATGGCAAAATCTCTTTACATGTAAATGGCTGGTTGGTAACTTAATGAGTAGAGAAAGTGCGAGATATTCTTCCCCCTTTTGCCTGGCTGTAGACATACTGCAATGGCTATATATCCAAGTGCAAGTGTAAGCTGTGCTAATAAAATACTCTCTACTATTTGGCTAACCATCCACACATAATTGAATACTTAATTTGAGATTTATGTTCATCCCCAAAGAGAACAGGGAAAAATGAACTTTCACTAAAAGAAATGAAAGTTGCGTAAACAATCCTAATACGCCTGACTAGACTAATTCGTGCAACCTGTCCCTTTTTTCTTTGTGGATACATAAAATAAGATGGTAAAACCTCACAATACAATCCTGACCATCAAGATACACACCTGGTCAATAGCAGACACACACTGTACTGTATACACAACTGAGTTAGAGAAGGTCTATGCTACAAGAAAGGAGAGTCAGCACACACGATACAGTAATAGGTTTCCAAACTGTATTTTACAGTAATATACAATAATATACAAAATATACCTGCAAGATGATGCTGTTGGCTTTTCCAAACAACAGTGAGGACCTTGGCAGTACTTACATCACAGAGACAAGCTATTTCCAGTCGTGTTAAACTCCTGGCATTATTGAGGATTACATCTGTGTATGGGGCAGACAGGTGGCACTTTATCCTGACTACCTGTAGTTTGGTGAGGGCCGTGTGTTTGAAATTCTCAACGGCCTGTGAAGATAAAAAAAATTTCAAGTTAAACTAGACAATCATTTCTAGTGATCACCAAAATCCTATAAAATCTAGGAATATTGAATTAATAAAAGTTAATATATCCTTGTTTCTCTTCAATAGGTACAGTATCTATTCTGCAGAAAGCTTTTCCCATGTTTATATTAGGCTGGACCATAATAGTCTGAGCACGTACATGCACCCAAAATATTTCAATACTCGCTGTCTTCACTCACTTATTGCAACCTCCAAACAAATTCGATTACCCAACATACATACACATAAAGTATATATTTACCTAATGTTTACCCAACTCGAGGTGGTCTTGCCAAGACAAAAGGCCAGTTATTTTGAAGCCCAATACTGTTATCATTGCATGGCTTGAGCTGGTAGACTGTCCCTTAGGTCTACTCTCCTGTGTGTGGAATAGTATTTACTTAAATTTGTCCTGTTTGACAAATTAAGGCAAATTTGAAGATTTATCCCTTCATGTTGGTGGTGCATGACATCACAAAAAAATAAGCTGGGATCATGTTTTTCAATCCTTTCAAGATTTTTAATGTCTTGTTTTACAAAATTGAAAGAGCATTTTCGTATCTTTGTATTTGAAGGTAGAGTCAGGAAATGTTCCGCATAATACACTCGGCCACAAGTTCGAAACTCTGAATGTGAGACCTGTGATAGGGAGGGGATATGGGAGTGATGACATCACAACATCAACAGCCAATCATAGTACATAGGTATAATCATACTGCAAAAGTGGTAAAGCTCACCAGAAAATAGCCAGATTGGTGTATGTGTGAGTACTGCTTTGCTACCATTTATGACCACTCTTTGTTGCCTGTCTTCGAGCCATTTGTTAATCCACTTCAAAATTTTTGCCTGTGGTGCCACTATCCCTGCATGTGGGACTTTGTCAAATGCCTTACCAAAATGCATGTACTGTACATTTCAAGGAGACTGAGTGAATTTGTCAGGCAGGATTATCTTTACATGCTGAATGCATTGTCAATACTGCTCGGTCAGGTGTTGAATGAAACCGTCCCTCAGAATTTTCTCAGTTTTGCATATAAAATATGTGATGTTAAGCTAATCGGCCTGTAGTTTTCTGCTGCACTTTTTTCTACCCTTCTTGTACTGGGTGATGTTGGTTGACTTCCAGTCCCTAGGTACTTTAACGTAAACTTTGGTCCTTATACCTGACCATAACCTTTAAACTACCTTCAATGAACTTCAACTAATTCTATATTCTTCAACTGCATTAAGATTAAATTTCTTCCCTCACTTTTTTACATTTTTTTTTTATACATTAACTCAAGAAAGATCTAAACACTGCATTTAAAACTTTCAATAATTTTTTTGTTACAACTACATGTACATCTGTATACAACTAGTGATGAGGTGAATCCCCAAATTTCAGAATGTGATTTCACATGGATTCAGGTGGAGTGTTAACTCGTGTAAGGCAGCAGCTTTCATAAACTGTATGAGAGCTCCAAGGAGGGTCAGGGTATCAGAAGATTCAACAACAAGAGACAAACACAAACCTCATAAGGAGCAGAACAATCCTCCCCCTCAATGGTCAGGTACTTGAGGTTGGTACATGTCTGGAAAACCACTGGAACGTCTAACCCTCGACAATGAACTGTGAGAGCCGTCAGCTGGTGGCCTACAGCTTGTACTGCACCAGTCACTGATCTTGAGGCAACATTGACCAGAGTCAGGTGCTTCAAGACAAAGAATCAAGAAAATTTGAAGCTGGATAATTTAAAATATATTACAGTATTATGAAATTTTACATTTAACACCCAATACTTTCCAGTTTTCACACCCACCCACCTACAATTCCAGTTTCTCACACAGTAATGAGTTTCCAGGTAAGTGACAATATTTAGTGAATAAACCTATGTACTGGAAGTATATTTTAAAATTTTGAATAAAGTTATATCATATAGTATCACAATAATGTCTCACTATATACTTACCTTAAGGAATTTTAACTGTGTCAAATGTGATTTAAAGTGTGAAGGTGACTTATTGTCGTCACCTAACATCTCGAGGTCAACCTCACAAAATCGGTGAGTAAGGCTCAAATCTTTAAGTTCTGGGCAGAGAGTAGTGATCACCACCAACCTACAGGCAGACACACTGTCTTCCATCACCCTGATGAGGAAAGATGGCCGGCCAGGCACCCAAGAAAAGAGGCATCATATGAGTAAGTTATTATTAATTCCTGACTGGAGTGGACAATTGGGTTTCCTCCTGCACGCTCTGCAATAAATGAGTACACCATTGGAGGCACCTGTCAAATGTCGACTATCATCCTACTAAGCGGTAGTTTATCTCGCCTAATATACTGTACAGAGACTCAGAAGACCAGCATCTGTCCACCCACCACAGCAGGAAGATGCTTGTACAGACGAAATTAAAACTATAAAAACCAATAATTATTTCTCATAAACTATCAATTATTTTAAAGCTTTTGATCAACTATTTCAGCCAATTTTATCTGGAATGTAATAATGTTTGTTATTAAGATGGACAAAGACAAATATGTGAAAGACTCAACTACGGTATAACATATTTCCAGCCTTGTTAGACACTTTTTTCTCCAAAACTCACCCTGCACCTTACATGCTGAAGGTTAACCTAAGGGGGATGAGTAAACCAATTAAAAGCAAGATCAAAATACAGTATATCCTCAGATATCCAGCATTTAACCATCCAGAACTCTTGAGCAACCAGCATTTTTTGGGTGGGGGTCAATTTCCAGTTAGTAAAGTCTAATCACATTTTAAATATCAAGAAATTGGAGGGAAATATCTTCAAGAAAATGGGTAACTTGTGGTGGCTCAATATATTTTCTCTAATTTCATGGCAAAAACTACAAGTATTTGAAGAAAGTAAAAATAAAAAATATGCTCGTATATTAGCATTCTATCTCATTAGTCGTAAGTATTGTAAATATTGTAATATACTATATATGTTGTAAATATTCACCAAGAAATAAGAAATACAAGAGGGACAATACAACATTAAGCATAACAAGGTACAGGTAACACAATATAATAGAAATTAAACTTTATAAGCCAGGTTCAGAAAAATAAATAAATAAATAAATCGGCATCCAATATGTCGGAATTTGCAATAAGTCAGCACGCCACCAGATGACTGTGGTTTTGAATAGTTGGCAAATTGGCTTTTAAGTCAGTAGGAGCCGAGTCAAGCGCGAGAACTCGGCAACTGGCTCACACTTAGTAGTCCGTATTGGCCCCGTGAACATCAGTTTACATTAGCCTCTCATCAATGGTAGAACTTATGACAGTAATTAAATGGCTGTGAAGTGTTGTGTTAATGTGTGTTATATAGTGTAGTCTTAAGGTTGTCAGAATAATTATTTACTGTGCCTGTGATGGGTTACTGTTATACATAAGTGTACAGGACTGTACATACATTACCAGTAGTTATTTTTTTCAGATCAATTTACTGTACAATGCTTGTGAAATGTTGCACACAATATAGTATATACACCCTGTAGTACAGTTTGTCTGCCTCTAACAAGCTTAGCAAGAAATTGCCCCTTGCCATTACTAAGTACCTAATACAACTGTTTGAATTTCATTATACAAGTAATGTACTGTAAATACTGTACAGTATAGGCTTATTACCACCAAGTCTAAACAATGGATTACTCAGCCGAGTTATGGGGGGTTTATTGTACAGTACAGGTAAAATACTGTATTGGCCCCTTGAAGTGAAGGGGCTAGGGAAGAAGAATCAGTGGAACTGTAAACCCCTTGTGTACGAGGGGTTTCTCTGTGCTGAATAAAATCAATAGTGGTGTCCCATAATGAAGGGGTTCATCAAAGGTAATTTAAGATATAAGGAAGTCATACTCGTTAGCACCAATGCCTAAATGCTAGGAAATAAGGCACATTATAATCAATATAATAATTACATCTAAACCCTTCTTACCTATTGAGTTTAAATCTGATGGCATATTTCCGTAATCGACCCATAAAGTTACTGCGTCGTAGGGACTTGTTCCCTACCAGAATTTCTATTGCTTCTGTCACGTCGGTACAATTTCCGAGGGACTTCAAGGCAGGAAGATGTTTGAGCAGGAAGGCAACTCCAAATTGACTTATTTCCGTTCCTAAAACGTCAACCTGTAGGATGGTACTGAAGATGAAACACAAGGACACAAACACCGATGATGTATAAAACAAACCTTACAATTAAAACCGCTAATACAGTATATAAGAATTGGTAAAGAATGGCTCATAAAATTTACCAAGAGGAGAAATTTTGAACTTGAAAAATCTGGTAAATGAAGTATGTTTTTCCACCAATTTATCTAAAAACCCCCAAAAAGTGGCTCCTGTATGAACACTTCAAGTTAAAGCAAAGTTTAACAGCTGCTCTGCCTCTTCCTTGTCTATACACAACTGGAAAAGAACATGCGATGGTGGTCATCACTAAGAATTTAAACTAATCTTACTTTTATTAGCATTAAGATTAACCCATTAAATCATTCTCCTATTAAGCAATGAACTGAAGTTGGAGCGAACCTCTTCAAGTGCAGAGCAGCAAGGGTTTAGGTGGAAGGAGCGAACTCTTAATTCGTGCAGGTGTCGCCCTCTTCTGAGTATATGGTTGTCCGGAAAGCGTAAGCACATCGCTTTTAATCCTATATCTGTCACACCAGAACTGTAGAAGAGAATAAATAAAACATGGTGTACAGTATTATGAGATCCTGAGATATTGTCGAAAATAAAGTGTCTGCTTGGCCACTTCAATACCAGGGATATTCAAGGAAATTTCTTAGAAAGCTAGACAAAATGAGTAACCATAAAAGCAGTACAGCTAAGACTTTATTGAAAAAAAAATTAACTAATGTATATACCACACCAACAAGGAATGAAGGTGCACTACTCTGCCTCTAGATCTGCCTATGTACTGTAATGTACAGTCATCTCCAGGCGTGCTGTTACCAGCTTCCATGCCTCCTTTGCTGTGGCAACATTGCACTACTCATGTGACTAGGGAGCAGATTGATAGGGCTCTTGCTAGGAAACAGCCCTATCAATCCATTCCCTAGCCATATGAGTCGTGTGAGGAGTCACGGCACGTGGTAACAACACACCTGGAGACAACTGTACACAATACAACCTTATGTTACTACCCACACCCTCTCTTCCAGGAATGGATATTTGATATTCCACTTGGCAACACCTTTGTAACTAGTTGTGGAATGTCAAGTACATAATCCCATCTCCTAGTCACCTATGAACTGGATAATTGGTAATCCATTGTACTGTAGTTCACAATAATGTAATCGTGCGGTGGAGATTTGTAATCAGTTTTTTATCTTCACCACCTTGTATGTTCAGCTGGAGTTACTTGTGATATTTGTTTGTAGTTGTTTCAGAGTACTTAATGTTCAAACAAACACAATATGGCTTTCTTATTTACTTACCAAAACATATGCACACTGTTATAATATGACAAATTAACTGTTGATAGGCAACTGTCCTTTTACAAGTAAAAAACAAATAAAACTCAGACATCAATGCCTTTACCTGTAGCATATCCTCAACTCTCTTAACTTTGGTGCACTCTGGCCCAAGGCTGCCAGTATGTCATTATTGGCTCCACACAACAAGTGTAGGGTAGACAGCTGGGTTAAGGAGGACAGGCCAGCCACCATGGGACACGGTCCCTGAAGTAGTTGCACAAAAATAGTTTAAATGGCAAAACAAGAGATTTTTTGTTTTTCAGAATTAGTTGGTAAGAAATTTATTATAAATACATCATTATTCATGCTTATGCATGTAAATATACCAACCTAATTGCTCCCTCCAAATACAATTACCAAATCCGTTAGTGACGGAAAATGCACCAAAAACTCACTGAACATTAGCACGCACGCACATGCGCGCGCACACACACACACCTACCTTTCTAACTTGATGTCAGACCTCACTACTATGTCTTGGAACTTTAAACATGCACTAAAATTTGTTACAATGCACTTCCTACAATAATACAAATGCAGGTGTAGTTTTGTCAAAATACCAGGACTGATATTAGAGTTACGCTCCTAAAGAGAAAAGAGTGTACGGGCGCCCAGACATTAACACAACAAATTTCTTTTCTACTTAATTTTGTACTTATTAGTCTCTGCACCCTTAATTACCTGATGCACTGCTTTCTCTCAAGTTCATCCTTTGTGTCACTTCAAAATTTTATCCTTCCTCTTAAAGTCCAAGAGACCACACTTCATACCCATAAAATAATGGCACTTTGATACCTTCTGAAGTGGGGCGAAAAAAGGAAAAAGAGGACTGCCTAATGATTCAGCCCAATATATATATATATATATATATATATATATATATATATATATATATATATATATATATATATATATATATATATATATATATATATATATATATATATATATATATATATATATATATATATATATATATATATATATATATATATATATATATATATATATATATATATATATATATATATATATATATATATATATATATGTATATATATATATATATACATACATATATATATATATATATATATACATATATATATATGTATATATATATATATATATATATATACATATATATACATATACATATACATACATATATATATATATATATATATATATATATATATATATATATATATATATATATATATATATATATATATATATATATATATATATATATATATATATATATAATGGCAGACCCTGCTGCCATATGGCATCACGAAAATTGTGACCAAGTCCCAGGTTGCTGATCTGACTTTCTGCCTCATTTACACACAATTGCTGGGTCTCAATTGTTTCTCTTTCTCTGACAACACAACATACAAAATGTATGTCGTTTCTCATTCTTGATTTAATTTTCTCGTTTTTGTATTTATGGTTATTATTATTATTTTTAGTATATTATTTTTATTTTTAGTGCAGGTATTTTGTTATTTTTTTAATTACAGTAATACCCCGATTTACGCGGTTCTCGTTTACGCGATTCTACATTAACGCGGTACCTCGCCAGAACCGCAATTTCATTTTACGCGGTGCATCTACTCATATACGCGGGAAGCGGCGTGGGCAGGATGCGCACAAGGTTGCCCAGTCATCAAAACATTACCGAGTTCTTCACCTGCCACCCACCACAGCCGGCCCAAGTCAGTGATAGTGAGGATATGGACTTATCTGGTCTTTGAGGGGTTTGACAAAGAGGCCCTGCAAGCCTATGTGGTGGATAGTGATACAAGTGATACAGGTGAGGGCCAATAATCTGCCCTCTGCCTCGGAACCAACCCCCCATCCCCGTGTGCCCAGCCATCTTTTCTACTAATGCAAGTGTTAAAAAGCCTAATATTATTGATATTTTTCTTAATTATTAATTGTGTGTGCATACCATCATAAAATTAAGATGTTATTTTTACTACAACGTAGGTATTGTGTCTGAAAAAGTGGAGTTTGGGGGTTGGGCCAGTCTCTATTGGAATTAATCCCATATGTTCTGTTGTTCACTTTCCGTGGTACCCCATGGGTTCAATTGATCGCGTAAATCGGGGTACTACTGTATTATTATTATTATTATTATTATAATAATAATAAGTTATTATCCAGGCCCTGATGTGGGTCAGTGACCTGTGCCCAGGTGGGCTAATCCCTGCGTAAAAAAAAAAAAAACCCTGTTTGGTAGCTGCCTACTATCTACTACCTCATGACTCTTGCAAAACATAATAATAAATAATGATGATGAGAGAGAGATACCTTTGGGGCAAATCTGGCCTTTCTTATGGCGTCGTCTTCGGAGAAAAGTTTAAGTGTCAAGTTAGTTCTCATGAGTATGTGGTGGCGCCTGGGACGACCAGAGGCCGAGACGGCATTGGCGCTAGGGTTAGTTTTGTTTTCTCCTGTTGCCCCATCACTGTTGGGCTCCATCTGTAACTCAAGAGATGCATTTCATGACTTCAATGAAAAAAACTGATGAAAGGAGGACTTTTAGCTCTCAAAATACCATTTTTGCAGTTGTTACATTGTACAAAAATTAGGCTACCATGCTAAAAGTTATTCCCCAAAACAGTATGAAAAAAGCTTGGAAACATTGAAAAGCTGACAAAGAAGAAAGGGGCACCACCTTTGCCAGGACAACATCAAGAAATGCAAGTACTGTACTGTACTGTACTCAAGGCCAAAAATTAAGGTACCTGTACAATGAAACCCCCACGCAATCCATTAGGTGGGGGCTTCATATTTAATTGACCTTCAATATAACGGACTTTCCTCTCCATATAATCAGTTAAAAGTTTTTACTGTAAGCTGAATTTCTAAATACTGTACTGTACATTATTCTTTACCATACAAGATGTGCATCTTGATAGATGGTAATGTGTGAAATATTTATTGTATTATTTCATTTATACTGTACTTTACATGGGGAGGAAGAAGGAAATGCTCCCATTAAGGGAATCCACTCAATATGGAACAGGACTTGCACAAATTAGTCTGGTATTGGGAGTGTCTACTGTAACTCCTGAACCTTCTCCAGGTCTACACATTGCAGTGAAACCTCCACCATCAACTGTACTATTTTTTTGTTTTACTAAATCATTCCAGCCTTCTAACTTTCCCTCCCTCATTCTTTATGAGATCTTTAGAAGAAAACAATAATAATACAATACTGTAATTAAGAAACAAAAGAAAATTTATTACCTGATTCAATATGACCTTCAAAGATGTCAGGTTGGGACAACATTCTCCCACCACATTCAGCAGCTGTCTAGGTAACACCTGCTCTCCACAATTTATTGATATCACACTGTCGTCCAGAATAGCCTAAAGAATTAAATAATTAAGACAACATATAGGGCACTAAGCATTACAGTATAGTGTATACCTGCACTGTCTATGTACAGTTGCCCACAGGTGAAACATTATACCTGTGGACAAATGTACATGCTGAATCAATATAGAACTGCAAGACGGTTTTACTGAATAAGTATCTACTTATCCTGTATGCACAGTTAAACTTGGATTAACTCCAAATTTACTTGCCACACATCTTCAGCATCCACACGTGACAGTACTAAATGCACTCCAGAAGTTTCAGCCTCTCTGTCTTTCTTTTTTAGGGGACGGGAGGGGGGGGGGGAACAAGTGGGCAATACATCAGGTCTCTCTTCAATCCTGCTCTTAAAATTTCAATTACAGTGACAGCCTAACTAAAAAAGATGTTCTGGGGTAAATACTTCAGGCACTGCCATCATCAGCACAGTACTACACTTAACAGTACTGTATGGGAATGTTTGGCACGTGAAATATCTGGCAAGGTTCTGTAAGTGTGATCCTTTGTTCAGGCTCGGTAACAATATGATAAAAAGGAAACGCTATACTGTAATCATGACTCACCCTGAGGATGTCTAGTTTGGCATTAACCCATCGATCTGGCTCTGGGTTGGTGAAGAGACGTTGAACTAAGCGATCTCGAACCTGTTAATTCATGAAATGTCCTACAGTAATACAATTTATACATTATTCATTATGCAATCATTCAGGCGAAACTATAGTAATAAAAAACTTCCTGAGAACCAAACACATATCAAAACTTCTCTAATACAAATAAATTAGTTCTCTGTTCCTATTTATATTCACTGAGCTCATTCTAACCTTTGTTGTTCAGTAGTACACACAGTATCATTGCTAAACTTAATTGCACAGTAGAGTACAGTAGTGCACACAACATCACTCCTAAAGATTATAGTACATATGGAATATTTCAGCACCCTTTACAGTACAGAATAATACTGTACAGTATATACAATTAACTTACTAAAACTGCCCCTTTAAATTACTGTATAATAAGCGCCAAAACCTACAAATACTGCACTGTTATTTCATTGGCAAAATTGTACAGTAATTGGTCGCAAAAATGTACACTGTTACATAAGCTAAAAACTACAAGTTAATTTGATACCAATTCGCCTTCAAGACAGTTTACACAGGCAAGTTTAAGCATTAATAACATAACCTTTTATGTAACAACACATTTAGATACAGTACACAACACCTAAACTCATTTTTCTTTATTCACAAGGCTTTACCTGGTCATTAAGAATGCCTGGAAGAACAGAAAACCTATCAGACACCATCTTTTTTAACTGTTCCAGAGACGAGCCAGCAAGAGAAGACAGCACCATGGAGTGGCGGAGATCTGTACTGAGGAGGTGGGCCAGGTGGAGGTCGGCCACAACAGAGGCCAACACCACTCTGAGACTCAGCTCCTCCAAGGATTCTATGCAGTGTCTCTTTCTTGGAGCCATCTGAGGAAAATTTTTATACTGTAGTTCACAAGTCATTTCTACTTTCATAATGGTAATACATACTGTACTGACTTTTTATGGTAACCTTAATTACAGTATATACTAAATTTCAGTAATCTGCTGGAATACTGAACCATAAACATCAGTTTGGAAATAAGCGTTGTGGACGAGTGGAACAAATCACCATATACCATCATTAACAAACTCACTGGGACACTTTAAGTATGGGTTGGACAGGATTACAACCCACTTGGACAATTGTCTGATTTTTGCTATTTAATATAACCTAACCTAACCTGATCATTTAACTTAGATGGTAAATATAACATAAAACAAACGATCGTTCCAAGTGGGACGACACCGTAAACTGGGCTGCCTAGTATGGGTCAATAGACCTCTGCAGTTTCCTTCACTCTTATGTTCTCACAAAAGTAACAGCTTCTTCAGTGTTACATATGACTAAGTCTTCAAAGGTTGATCTTCCTCATTTAAACACCAACCCCATATCTATGCACATCCAAAACCTCCTCATTTGGGCTGGATCTGTCAATACTGAAGGCTTAACATATGAAGACAAAATGGGTCACAAAGAACACAATAGAAATAAGCTTTTAACAGCTTTTTGGGATTATCATTGTTCAAATTTATTACAGTTCATCATTGTTTGTATACCTCCACTGTCTATGTACATGAACCAATGTGAACTTGAATGGTTTTTAGACCTGGATATACAGAAGTCTACATTATCACATCTGAAATTTAGACTAAAAATCATGAATAAACTGGTATCACTAAATAGATAAGACTGAAATTCAGGCATTTATTCAATCGGTAAACTCATCTTTACAGTTCACAAACGTTCATTATGTATGTAGACAAGGGAGGTATAGCAACAAAAGTGAATTTTAAGTGGATTCAACCAAGAATAATTCAACAAAGACATTAAAAGCTTATCTACCACAGGTTCTAATTTTGGGCGTGTGTGTGTGTGTATGTATATATGTGTAGAAGAAACACAATATAACACTTAGTCACAACATGGCCTGGTTGACTCCCATCAGGAAAACATTGACCAACTCTTTCTCCACATTAATACACACTGTTCACAACTACATCAAGTCCTCGTAGTGAACAGAATATCATTTAAAATTAGCTCTCTCTACTGTAACGAGACCATGATGAAGTAAAGCCAATATACCTCGTTGTGGTCACCCGGTAAATCACGTCCTGCAGTCTCTTTACTCAGCTTCTCATGTCTTTAGTATTTACATTGAGGTCTTGGCGTTCGCTTCCCTGATTCAAACAATATATTTAACATTTTAATTATAGTAACTTACGTTTCTATGTTTATAAATAAAATTTTCAATGATACCGAAATACAAATTTGTATCTATTTTGTGATATTCTCTAAGAAATTTTACTGAAAGATGGTAGAATAATTTCCTGAAGTTCTCTTTACCCTATTCGAACAGTTGAAAAAATTAAAAAATTTTCACAATTGTCAGGGATATGATTTTTACAATAACTACCATAATGAAGCTCGTGGTAAGAAAACCTGAAACTGAGAGGGTTTAATTATTCTTACATCATCTCATGACAAATTTTCTCCTAAATCTTTCAACGAAGATCTTGTTCATGTCGCAGGATGAGAAAACTTAAGGAAAAACTAGACTGGCGTAACACAACTTCCTCACTTGACTCTATTTAACTTGATTTGACTTCGCTTTACTCTGTATTCTCTTCGCCGCTAATCGGCTTGTTAGCCGCTTGGGTGGTCGGTCACGTTTCTGTTACGCCTGCTGGCAAGTACTGGTCATTTACCGATCCCTGAATGAGTATGTTGAAATACAAGACGTGAGCATTAATGTTCACGGTCGAACACTAGTGAACACCGTAACTACTTTTCATAGGTCATCATTACCAACTACCTGTCCCATAAAGAGAGATCGCCAGTTTGGGGTACTTAAACGAAGATAAAGATGGCTATCAGAAATTGATCTATTTTGGAGAAGACATTTGGATAGGAGTAATTAGAAATCTAGAGATTTGTCATTGGGTGCAGGAATTATATCACATAAGTGCAGTGCTTAACATGACCAACAAAATTGTTGTGCCCCCTGCAATGTTGCTTTTAAGCATTGTGTCCAGCAATTGGAAAGACTAGGGGACTTCTTTGGGTATAATTTTAGTTTCGATCATCCGGGGAAGCGGTTAGGTTGGTTAGGTTATCTAAATACAGGGATGACCTAAACTAAAATTTTATCCTCTGTACACCGAAAAATCTGCCGCCTTCGGCGCCTGTTGTCCGCTTGGTCAGAGCATACTCTCGCGTCCACAAAAAAACGTAAAATTACAACAAGCCGCTTAGAGAAAGTGGCTTTCAATGGTATCAGACATAAAAGTAAGTGCTTTTTTTTTAATTCGATTTGAAAAAAGTGTATAGTATAGTAGTGATAATGAATGTTTGATGATATGCATAATTATTGGGTTATGACCCTTCCTACGCTGTTAAAAAAAAAGTAACTAAAGACCCTATCCTAATTTACCTAACCTACCCTAACCAAACATTATACTGGCATACAATTTAGGCTCGTAAGCCGATGTTTCCAAAATAATACATTAATAACCTCCCAATAAAAGTTACTAAGAGGAAAGTGGGCACGACTCAACTTGAACCAGGCTGCTATGAGGCTGCCTGTCGACGACCGTAACTGTCTGGAGCCGGAGTATACTCCCCCACAACAACATGGCAGCAATCCTTAACTCACACCACCTTCAAACACTAGCACAAAGACTATAAACGATTTATAGTCTTTGTACGAGCACCTTCCTTGGAGTATACACACTAGTCACCCAAACCTCGGCCACGACTCCTCCTCAGCAGTGCTCACAGGGCACAGGGTGGACGACTGGGGCACCACACGTCCACACCAGCCAGCACAAACACCAGAACCTAAGTACCTCAGCCCCCTCTCTTGTTTTTCCCTGTAGTGTAAACTGTAGATTGGCTCAAAGCCCTATGAAGCTTCAAACTGTTGAACCCCACTAACCAATTATATGGTTGGTTGGTTGCTTTGTTTTGCTGGCCTTCAACATCATAGGTTATTACGGCCGTAGAGATATATTATTTGGTTTCGGGACTTGGAAGGTGTTACTTGTTTCTCTTTCTAATTCCTCTTGTCGCAACAGGCAGTTCATCATAGGCATGGATCGCATATACGCGTGGCTTTTCAAGGTGTTCCTTGTCTTTCTCCATACCTTTACTCTTCTTGTCACCAAGCAGTTAATCAATGATTTGGGCCGCACAGCACAATTTTTTGGGGGGATATTTATTTATGGTCAATGATGATGAATGGACTGCTTGGTTGAAGTGTGGGTTGAAAGATTGCATGCAATATGAGTGAGATAGTATCATACGCATGACTTGTATGTACTACTGGATGATGATACATATTTATATACATATGTCAAGGAGGTGATTTCATAACGTTAGGGTATGGTTGGTTAAGGTTAAGTTAGGATAATATTCTTTCAGGTTAATATAATGGTAGGTTAAAGTTATGTTAGGTTAATGTCATGTTAGGTTAATGTTCATTTTCTTAAATTAATATTATGTTGTTAACGTTATTTCGGGTTAATATTGTTACATTTACGAAACGGATATTGTGATTTTTTTATTTCTCCGTAAAATCTGTCACGTGACGTCGGCAGTGTCAACTCAGGTGGACGTTGTCAGGTCCAGCAGACTAATTTTCCTGAGTACGGTTTTAAGTGCTAATTAACACCAGTGCTATATTTCTAAGTGTTTGTCGATACTAAAAACGATATGTTAAATGCTTCGGAAGTTCCAATTGGAGTCATAATACCGGAAAATACGAGACGACGACAAAAGAAACCAAACAGTATTTTCAGGTGAGAGCGACTATATTGTACTTCTTAAATCTGTATAATAAATTATCGCATTATCAGATTATCATGAGCTGGGAAATATGCGGGGTCATTTCAGTCATGTTTGTTAGCAGTGTAAAGTAATGAGGCTGCTCCGTAACCATGTTGATGCAGTTGTTACATAATTTGGTAAAGGTTAAGAGCAATTGCGCCCCTTAACTTCCAATTGTACGATATTTCACCATGAAATATAATGCTCTCTTACCGCATGAAAGCAACGAGAAATGGAAAACAATACGTTTTGTGTGATATAAATTATACGAGTTATTTCGACTTCATTTATTGGTCACAGTTATCTGTATGATTAACGGCAGCAGTATAACAAAAACGATTAACGGCTGCAGTACGATGAAGACGATGAATGGCGGCAATCGCCTCAGGTGAGATAATGGCCGCCACTGAGCTCTTACCGTCGTACGGCCGCCGTTAAGCCCACATAAGTCCTTATGAGTCCTTATTAATATTTGTGAGACCTTGAGTCATTATTAGTCCTTATGAGTCCTTGTGAGACCTTATGAATCCTTGTGAGACCTTGAGTCCTCATTAGTCTATGAGTTCTTATTGATACCTTGTGAGACTTTAGAAGACACTCTTCCATACAAATGTTTGCCGATGACGCCAAGTTAATTCGGGAAATAAAAAACCAAGGACTGTGAAGAGCTGCAGAAGGATCTCTGTGAGTTCCAAGAATGGTCAAAGAAGTGGCTGCTGAGATTCAATGTCACGAAGTGTAAGAGGATGCACCTAGGGCGTATCAACAGTAAGGAGGCGTATCATATGAAGAAACTGCACTATTTGAGACTGAATGTGAGAAGGACCTACAGTAGGTGTGTATGTTGACAATGAGCCGAAGTTCTCGGGCCATTGTGAGAAGAAAGTAAACCAGGAAAATAAATTATTGGGTCTTATAAGAAGGTCGTTCAGATCTTCAAGAGTGAAGTGCTTCCCCAGCTGGAGTACTGTCACCCGATCTGGTCCCCGAGATATGCTAGGGACTGTTGGTTGAAAATGTTCAAGGGAGGGCCACCAGACTGGTGCCTGCACTTCGGCACCTCAACTACCCTGAGAGATTGGAGTGCCTGAACTTGCCTAGCTTATACTACAGACGGGCAAGGGGCGACCTAATTGAGGTGTATAAGCATCTCAAGGGGCACTACTCAGTCGAGTGTCCTTACTTGGAGCTGGCGGACGATCGCCCCACAAGGTGTCACAGCTCAAGATTGAAGCCGCAAGTCCAGAAAACTGTGAGGGCAAACTTTTTCGGAGAGTTGTGAACTCTTGGAACAATCTCCCAGAAAGTGTTGTGACGGCACCGAGTGTTAGCTCTTCAAGATCAGACCGGACCAACACTAGAGCAGGTTCGGGTACATTCAGGAGCCGGTGCATGCCCAGTACCTGCCAACGGTGACCAGATAAAACCCCAACGGACAAAACCCCAGTCTCATATATAAAATATAAAATAAAACACTTTTATGTTTAGGTTAGGTTAGATTAGTGTTGATAAATGACAACCCCGTTGGGGTTTTGTCATGGAACCCCTGTCAACAGTGCGTAACAAAGAGCCAGTACATGACTAGCACTTGCCAACAGTGCGTGACAAAGACATGACCGATCGCCCAAGCGGCTAACGAGCCGATCAGTGGTGAAGGGGATAAAAAAAAAGTAAAGAGAGTAACAGTTTGTAGATATTACCTGTGTGAGCTTCAGCGCGGTAGCCCAGGCTGGTGGAACGCTAGCAGAGGAGCAAGGAATCTCCCTTACTTAGTCCAGCGCCTGAATTCCATCCCATCCACAGGTAATGTCCAGAATTCCGTGTTCCACCTCGTCACATTAAGTGTTTTTGACTTAATTATTTTGTTTGAATATTCAAGTGATCCATCAACGTAACTTTGGTGTGTTTTAAGTAAAGTGTTTATGCGCCTTCAGCTTTTAAAAACGTTATGACATTCGTGTCACCTTAGTCCAGCGTCTGAACTCCATCCCGTCCACAGATTCTTGTAGGTCAAGGGTGTTTTTTTTTTTTTTTTTTTTTTTTTGATTTGTAGGAATATTACCTACGCGGACCTTAAGCTAAAATGCTGGTCCACCCACTGCTGGGATAAAAAGGATGGTCGTTGTATGCTAGGACGACCTCGAACCTTAGTAGAGATTGATGAAAGCCAGACGTGTTCGCTATCCATCCCTGAGGACCTCACGCATCAGTAAACACGGCCAGCTCTCAGCAGCAGTGTTGTTTGAGTCCACCTGTAAGTAGAGTGTACTGTGGATGTGTTATTCACCCGAGGATCCTTGTATGTAATCTCCTCAGTTGTAGGGGTGTATGAGGTCGTCACTTACTTCTTGGCGAATGTAGCAAAGTAGCGGAGGGAAGCTACTAATCCTGGTGCTGTTAAAGTATTAATGTTGGTGTTATTACCAGAGTCCTGTTACTAATGAAGAGCTAAGGTTCTCTGGTAACTTGTACATTATTGACGGTGCTCAAACGTGCTATATGTAAGATTAAAGTGTTGTGTGTTTTGTTTAAGGCACACCAAATAATGGTGTAAGTTGAAAAATGTACCTAATTGAAAGTGCAAGGAGTAGAGCCAGGGAGTTGATCCTTGTAGTTGTTACTGGAAGTATTCATAAGTCTAATTGCATTTTAATAAACCATTTTATTTGTTTGTTGGGGGTATCATTCTCCTGCAGTATTTACCTTCATTCTTTCCCACAACTTGGTACCAAAATTACAGTATACCCCGTGTCCTAACCCTCGAGCCATGCTACCACAGGTCAGAGATTATGGAGTAACTATATGAAGTAAAATAACTAAGACATAGCTAACATATGGAATTAATAAAGTAGGTAATTGAGAGTTAAGAAGTTACGTCAGAAAGATAAATAGTTGTTTAACAATAGTGGAACAGAAAAGAATTTAAAGTAAACTAGAAAAAGAGAAATTCCCTTTAAAATGTTAACGAAACTCTCAACCTTACAAATGATTAACGAGACCTTATCAGTCCTTATTAGACCCTATGAGGAGTCCTTTTGAGTCCTTATCAGTCCTTGAGACCTTATGAGCCATTAATCCCTCATAAGGCGATCGTTGCCATTCACCATCTGTGTCGTACTGTCGCCACTAAGGGAAGTGTCCAGCTGAAGCACGAAATTCGTTAATAATTGTCTACTCTATTGTACTGTATCTCACTGTTTTTTGTTTTTTTTTGTAAATGTTTATCCCTATTTATCTTTCTTTCCCTGTCTTTAACTGTTTTCTTTTCTTACCTTTCCCATTTTCTTTTTCTCTCTATATACATCTATTTATGTGTCTTTCTGTCAGTTTCCTCTCACACCCAATGGAGAGAGAGAGAGAGAGAGAGAGATATATCATCATCTAACCTAACCTTCACCTCATATATGGGACTCGGTTTGTACTTTATGACCCTTCACTTACATGGTCCCCTTCCCTTATTTGTGTGTAAGTTTCTCTCTAAGATTCATAAAATTACATTAAAAAAAAATAATTTTGAGACTTACTGTACATAGAGCTCTTACAATGATGAGACCACTGTAGAGTAGGTTTAATATAATAACTATTGATATGTTGTTTCTATTATAACTACATTACTAAGAAAGTATTGTATAAATAAATATATCTACACAGGACAGGTTTGATATACTGTATTGATTACCAATCATAAAATCATCAACCACTACATAACATACTTATAGTAATAAAAAGTTACCATAGCTTTTTAACCAATAGTATTCATGAATACAGTAATACCCTCATTATTGCATGGATGCATTCCTGAAAGTCATTGCGATTAATGAAACTGAGCACCACTACCTTACACCACCCTGATGCAGCAACCCACTCCTGTTCCCTCACTAATTACTGCAGACAAAGGAAATGATTACAGTATCATGTTTTTGACCTTATGATAATCATTTTTTATTTTGCACATTCTGAACAATTGTGTGTGCATGTAACAAAAGTAAAATACATTGAATAAAAATACGTACATCTACTCCAAATTAGGAGTTGAAAAATAACAAGAATGCAACTCAAAGGTTGGCCCAGTAAGGGGAGAGGCAAGGTGATGTAGCACCGGTGGTTGGCGACCTTCCAAGTCCACACACACTTTCATTACGTCGGGCTTTACTTAGGCTTACTTCACACAAGCTTTTGAAACGGACCGTACGTCGGAATATGAGAGCTGCGGCTAGCCCACCTGACTTGAAATATTACTGTAGGGTATCACAATTTTTTGGCGAATATCAAATAAGGGTGTTAAACTATCAGTATTCGAGTACCTGTACTGAACTCTTGAATTCACTCCATCACAGGGTAGGAACATACAATATGAGCAGTGATTAGTTGGTCAATTAAAAAGTAAGGCAATCAATAATTCTTAAATAAAAAATTAAAAAATTATACAACAGTTTTATTGGTTTGTATCAGGCATACAATATATCATCAATATATACACAATAGATCGATAATGTCAGAGGGAATCAACAAGTTCGGCCAATACCAGTCACATACATTTGACAGCCAAACTACAGACCTGCAGTATTCTTCATTAAACTATAACATCTCCTTTTGCTTTAAGTCAATGAGTGTATTTACAACATTCAGTCCATATGAAGTCTGGACAACTAATGACCAGATGCCAATTCTAATACTGTACAATCTCCATGTCATACCTACTGCAAGGATACTGAAGTTTACACACATACACCTACTGTGGAATGATGTTTGATGTTTAACACATTTATGGATGGGAAATGATCCACAAGTGGTTTCTTTATACTGCATGTGACTGTGACTGATTAATTATCATCTTCGGTGGATTACAAACTTAAATAACAATTAACATTATCACATATGTTTGTGTGTAGGTGCATGGGATATGATCTGTCCATGGTGTTTGTCAACAGAATCAAAGGGCCCTGGCCTGTCAGTGTAGGTTCCCACACTATTTATGGGTGGGTCCCAGGCTTCCACTATGAGAGTTCCTGGATTACCAGTGTTAGTATGTGTGGGGAAAAGGAGGTCTTTGGCCATTACTACAGATAAACCATATATAAAGCTTGTCAGACTATTGGGTTACTGATAAAATTTTCTTGCATATACATGACTATCCATTTTTTTTTAACATTTATTCTTTGGCTCTGAATCTAAATATCATTGGCAAAAGATATAATGTGATGCCCAAGCTTGGGCTGCTACTTGCATCGGATGTGAATGCCTGTGGCCATTGATACACCCCAAGTTACAGCTGCCCATACTTAAGATTCATAACATGTAGGAACCAGTCACCACTATTTTTTTACCAACCTTGAGGCTGATAATGCTCCATCACCTGTGGGTATTCGTGATTGCCGGCTTTATCAAACATATGGTAAATGCTCCATCTCTTCACATAGATATGCAAGAGTTAAACTTGATACAACTTCCCAGGCTTCTCCAGGCTACTCTATAACATGTTCTAAATACAGTGATATTGTATGGGAGTGAATTACTTAAAGTATCTGAAGTATAAATGAGTATTTACCGTGATGTGTACAAATGAGGTAAAGAATTGTGAATCCTTGCTAATGCCATTTTGTCATAAAAAATATTTCAAGGCCACCCATTTATGATTTGATGTGCTGGTTAATTTAGTCTCATAATTTTTAAGAAAATATTACACAATGATGTTAAAACAATTTAGTGCTAAAAGTAATTTTAACAGTCTTGGTATTTATAGGAATCTTGCAGTCCCAATTCTACAAAGAACTAATTCAATATTTTCTCATGAAATCTACCATTTCTGTAAGATTGTTCAAGTTTAAAGATAAAAGCCATTAGGGCCTTAATGTTGATGCTTCGATTAGTCAAATATCGTTTGTTTGTAAATTTACTTCTGGGAGCAATTGATCAACAGACTTCAACAATTTTTAGTGTAACACAGGCATGGGTAACCTGTGACCCGGACCATGTGTTTGTGTGGCCTGTGGAGTGGTTGAGAAATTCTACTTAATGTGGCCTGTGGTTCATGTAGATGCAGCCAGTTTATGGCGAGTAAAGCAATATTTATTAAAAGAGTATCTTCACACACAAAGAAATAAGTATACTTAGTCAACAATATAAACATTTTAACTAGTGTGAGTTTACGGGCCAAGTTCGGCGGGGTCTGTTTGATGGATTAGCTATTTGGCAGCGAGTCACTTGGGAATTCACTAAGGTTGGTTAAGTCCATTTGGGGTCACAGGCAGCGGTCACACAGGATTTAGCTAATTACTTCCAGAATACCACAAAAACACCTAAATTGCACCTTGAAAACCCATAGTTGGTGAGTAATTTGCATTGAAATAATGTAATTAAAATCTTCCAAGTGTCATTATGACCACTTATTACCCAGTATAATTGAATTGTGGGCCATAGATTCAGAATCATTATGCTCAGGAGTACCTATACCAAGATTTTCAACGAAATCCAATTTTTCACCGAAACCACCCAAATATTAAGCCTTATTACCTTGATAACTTTTCGACAAAAATGTACCTTTCTCTTGAAATTGGAATTTAAATTGTTTAAACAATTAAGTACTCCCAGAATAATACAAAAAATAGCACCTCGGAAACCCATAGTCTGCGAGTAATTAGCATTGAAATAATGTAGTAATTACAAATTTCCAAGCATCATTACAACCACTAATTACCCCACAATCGAATAATGGACCATAGATTCGGAGAGATGTGTCTATAGGTTGTTTCATTGTAGTTCCTCATATGCCAAGGTTAACAGTGGCGTTATTCTGGTGGGTGTGTCTCAAGTAAGAAAAATGCTGTAACTGTAGGAAAAATCAACGTATTCACAGACTGCTTCACTCACTTCTGTTAAATGCCAAGAAACATTACTTTAAATAAATTTATGATAGATTTGTTTCATAAATGGAACAAGACTGATTGTAAACTGAAAATATCGGAAGGTGGATGTGACGATTAACTGTTTCACTGTCCGTGCTAATACAATATTGAATTACTTTTGGGTTAGGTAGGCTATAAATGTTGGTGGGTAGGCCCCCAGAAAAATACCTAAATTGTAATGCGGCCCATGACTGAGGAGAGGTTACCCATGCCTGGTGTAACATAAGATGAATCTGGTAAATACTCCACTAATGTATATGACTTGTCATCTACACTAGTCACTTGTATGCTAAATTCTGGGATGTCATAAGTACTGTACTGACAATACAAGCCGTTGCATCACATCCTTCCTAAACCTGCACTTCTCGTGCAGCTTCTGGGGTGTAGTATTATACAATATTTAACTGTTTACATAAGCTAAATATAGTTATGAAGTGATATTATATGGTTGTAACAACAGGATGTCAGCAAATTTTTTTAACAGGAAGCTACATTTAAGACAAAAAATTTCAATTAGTTTTGCATAACAACTTATTATTGAAATATTGTATGATGATGGAAAGTTTTGCCCTAAATTTGTATACATAATAAATATATTTATGGTAATTAAAATTTTTTCAATGTTAGTTGATAATGCAAGGCACAATGCTTAACCACAACCATTTCCAACTCTCTACTATCTCAAATGATTTATATACAATTTATGAACATGAAACTTACGTCTTCACTCATTCATTGCAGAAGTCATTAACTTCTTCATCAAAAAACATTTTGCTTCAATGAGATCTAAAAGCCACATGTTGTGAAATTAGTCATAATTTTCAAATATCACTAATTTATTAATACAGTATACCGGATTTATTTAAAATAATTACTTTATCTACTTACCAATTTTTCAGATGGCTTATATAAATAGAGGAATGAATTAAATGCATGTAAGTTGAACGGGTCCTGTACTAATGAGAGAACTGAATATTTATATTAAGTGATTTAACTTAAAAGTTTTTGTTTGCTAGCTAAAAGAAATCAGCCTATGCCTACTTTGTGCCATTTCCCACCAAGAGTGCCAGCTTTTTCCCATGTAAGGAAGGTGTAGCAAGTGTTGGGCCTTTGGTTGACTAGTGACTAGTTCTGTGCACCACTTATTCAAACACTTGACTCCTGTCCAGTAAACAAGGACAGATGCTACCACGACCTGCCACCCACTATGACATGGAGCCTAAACATGGTTAATATCATGTATCTATTCTTTTACTTCTAAGTAGATTTACAGTAGAGTAAGAAATTATATAAAAAGGTGTACAGTATATATAAATTATAAAATATACCATGTATTAAATAATCCTGGATAAAAAATAATCAGGCAGCGGGACTCTGTTCTCAAGATGTGGTCTGTTGTGATGTAAATACTGTATACCAGTTATGAAAAATTATATTGAATGGTCATTGGTTTGACCTATCATAATGCCATTACAACAAACATTCTCAATCATGTCCTTATTCTCTATCAAGGCTGCATCAGCATTCAGACCTCTATTTTGAAAGAGCAATCAAAGGGTGGGGGAAAGACTACCTGGTTAGCTGGGAAATTGCAACACATTCTGGAACCACATTACATTCCCTAGGAAACAGTATATAAAATAATAACCAAATAAGTATTATTTACAACAGATCATCTCCACCCAGGAAAATTAATATTAGAAGTCATCTGTATAATATCATGCCTGCAATCAAGCACGCAGAAAAATACATGACTGCCTCGGCAAAAGTTGCTTAATTCGTCAAAGCACTTTGGCATAGCTGTGAGCTCAGGTACCCGACTAAAACGTCAAGTGCCACAGTGAGTAAAGACCTTCAGCACAATATGGCTCATATATGAGGCATGGAATGAATATACTCCTATCACAATATGAGTACCTGGGCAAAAGTAGAACAGAAGGTATATAATACATAGCAAATAACTTAAGGAAAATGCCCATTCCTAAATATCCCCATCATATTGGAAAAAATCCATCACAACAAAACCAACGAATCGAAATGCCCAGTTGTGAACTCACAACTATAATACATGGCATTGTTTCTCAGACTTAGGGCTTCAACTAGGACCAGCCATCAAGTAGTTGTCATTCATAAAAGAAAACCAACAACACATGTTCACTGAAAACAATATACTGTGTAGTTAAATTGGGTATTATTAATATCAAAATTTATAATTCATCTTTTCACCATGACACGCTGAATATTCTGTAGTCAAAAGATTTTACATTAATAAGCAGACATGATCCTGCATGTCACTACCCCTTTGTGTATTAATATAATGATGAAGCAAGAATTTCTCTGTATCACGGGGCACTTCCTGCAATACGCGCTAAAATTTGATGAACTCGAGAGTTCAGATCAGCATCGGAGTGCTTCAGTGGAGAGCCACCTTCCCTCAGTGATGATGACAACCTGGGTCTCCCACGTTGAAGCTGCAACCCTTCACTCTCTGAATTTCCTTTAATACTGCTCTCACAAAGTTTACTCTTTTGAAAATTTGGACTGCTAGACATACTTTTTCCTCCTTGAAGTGATTCTAAATAGGAACTAGCAGATGTTTCTTGAACCATAGAGAGCACAGAGGGGCGGTCAACACTCTTGAATCTTACAGCGCCATTCATGGCACGTAATCTACTCCTCATCTTTCCTACAGCCTCAAAACCCTGACTTTCATCCTCCAAGGAATCAGCCAGCCACTGCTGTCCAGTATCATCCATGTCAATACTCTCAGATGAATTTACTCTTTCACCCTTAGTAGTGTTAACTTTCTTCCCCTTGAAAGAAACGGCATGCCCAAGCATAGTTGGAGCCTTTGATGAGGGTGTCCACCTAGGTGAATTAGTGCATAAGGTATTGGTAACAGGTGGCAGTCGCTTGTCTGGAGTAAGTGTATGAGATGGAGTCCACATGTGGGCTGCCGGAGGAAGATATCGAATCTCCTGCGATGGAATGGGGTTCCACTCAAAGGCCACTTCAACATGCATCAACTTGTTAATATCATCTATAGTCTCCGCATCTGTGTTTATGCTGTCATAAAAACTACTACCGGATGCCACAGATGATGAAGGGGACAGTGAATCAGATCCAACTTTTAGGTTGGACAAAGTAAGCTCTGAGGAGATAGTTTCACTTTTACTTCCATATTTGAGAATCCTCTTGCTTCCAGCAGATGGTATGTTTGAAGTGTTTACACGTGGATCAGTCACATCTTTAAAATCCTGATTATAAAGATCACTGGCACTTAACCTCTTCTGAACAGCCTTTTTAGAATCTCCATACACATTTCTTGACTTTTGTTGTCCATCTAGTTCAACAAATATTTTCTTAGGGATGGCAGGAGTGGATGGGGATGGCGGGGAGGGGCTTCGCAGGTCAGACAAAGTCAAAGGCGAGCTTGAGAAGTCTAAGCTTGAGCTGAGGGAGGAGGGCTGTTGACTGGAACCATCCAAGCTGATCACTGTGCTTGACTTGCGGACAATGTTTTGGTCACTGTACCATGTCGAGGCAGCCTGCAAGATTCAATAGCAATAAATTATAAACTGCAGGTATATTCATCAGGTGTACAGTACTGCATTATTAAAATATTAACATTTATCTAAATCAGTCCATTAATTACACCCAAAATGTCTTAAGAATAAGATGAATAAACAAAACACCTAAAATCTAATTAATTATCACATAACCTAGCTCAAGCAACACCTACAGGGTCCTGTAATAGTAACAAGGACCTTCCAGTCATAATTAAAATTTCTTCTGCAAATTTCTACTTATACAGGAAGCCCCCCTCAAATTCGTGGGGATTCGGTTCTCAAAATAGCCGTGAATTGCCAAATCCGGGTGGAGGGGTACATTTTTACTTGTGTACAAAGAATTGCATATTCCCTTTATGTGTTTGCCCTTAGGACAATTATTTCTTTGATATATATATATATATATATATATATATATATATATATATATATATATATATATATATATATATATATATATATATATGCATGTGTGTGTGTAGACACACAAAACACATACAAATAAATAATAAGGAATAATAATGGGAAAATACTCTCTCAAATAATCAGACACAAATTTATTAAAAATGTGAGTCTACTCTCAAGTCCGTGCTTTATTAATAAAGTAATAAAGCACGGACTTGAGGGTAGACCATCACATTTTTAATAAATTTGTTTCTGATTATTTGAGAGGATTTTCCAATTATTATTTATTTTTGTGTTTTGTGTATGTGTCTAAACACTCACACATATTTACAATACAGGTAAAGGAAATTACTGTCTCTAGAACAAATGGCTCCCTGTCCCAGCCACGAAAATGCCAGCAACTTTAAAACTACCCCCAGTCATTCTTGGGTACATCCAGGGTGTCATCCGCGAATAATAGAGGACCGCAAAAAATAAATAAATAAATAAAAACTCTGCGAACTTGGGGGGGGGGGCCCCCTGTAAAATATTATAGGTATTTAACTAATGTAAATTTAAATTTTAGCATAAATATTAATACTGCACAGTACATCTAATATTTCTTTCAGTGAATATTAAGTCTGCACCAGATGTTATTGAAAGAATAGATTAAAAACTGCATTGAATGAGTAGATTAAAAAATGCAAAGCCAAAAAATATTACTCAAATAACAGGACTTACATCTACAAGAGCAAAGCTTCAGTATCTTTATAGTTTGCATTGAATGTGTGGTAATATTTTCCTGCAAGATTTCATTATCTTAAGAACTCTTCACCAAGGTAGATTTCAATAAGGACCTTGGTAACCCAGAACTGATGATTAACTACAATCTGCAAAATACTTCACCCTAAGGGCCTTGGGCATGAAAGTCTTGCCATTCTGTTAACTACCGTACACTGAACTACAAATATTTACAACATTCAACTACCATGCAAACATTTCATATCACTGCCTAATTTTCCAACAAAGTGAAGATCAAGTTATTGGCTGTTTATGTTAACATTGGAAACAAACCTTTATAAATGTTTCCTGCATAATTTAACCTTTTTTTTTGTATTAAAAGTGAAAATTAAAGACAGTTCTCACCATGAAGGTTCTCATACATAATGAAAAATAAAAATTCATGAATTACAGAGTCGGTTAAATTACGGCTTTTTCTAGTGGATAACGTATCTTATCCTTGTCTGTGTTATAGACAATAAAAAGAACGGCAATCAATTAACTTTAAATGGACTACAGTTTGCAGGGTGGCAACTAAAACTGTGGTCACTCTAGCTCAAAGAACGACACAGTTGGCTATAATTGCACTTTCCTTGCATTACAGGTTCTTGTTGTCAGGTGCTGTGTCAGTGCAAAAGAAACTTAAGAAATTACTTCACCAATGGGAGTTTATACCTAGCTTTAAACAATGCAACCAAATGTCATGATACAATTCCTACAACAGACTATTGTCCACTGAGCTGGAACTTACTTTAGAATATGTAGTAATAAACATATATTTCTCTGGCATTACCTATATAGCTTCTGTAAAATCATTAACAAAATAATTCCACACCTATTTTCTTTAAGCAAAAAGGAAAGATATTGTCACTGGCAAATTAAGAGCTTGATACTTATGTTCCTTCAGTCCCTAACCAAACAAGACAACCAAGGTAGATGAGTTAACAGTTAGTAATTTCATATTTCTGTATTAGGAAAAAAGTGAACGTCTTGCAAGAGTAAAGTAAAAACTATCCATAAGATCTTTTAGCCAATGATTCTTAATACAGTAATTCTTCTGCTTGATGAACAATTGAGGTTACCACATTATGAACTTTGACCAGCCGATACTGATACCAGGTATACTGTAGTATAGAAGGGGAGATCATAAATACATATTAACTACTTCATCGAACAGTATCTTTATGGTTAATGTATTAAGGATTAACGTTGCCTACCTCAGAAATGGGTTACCTTCAGTGTCCTGTTACTGTATTGAGATACTTTAACACCAAATTGTTGCAATATTTCATGCATCAACTTTCTATTCCCAAATTGTTAAAACAATTCCTTAACTGGATGGAACTGATGCACCCAGCTGGCAACTCATCATATGAATATAGAGATTAAGTTGTCATGCATTAAAATTTGTCAAACTTCACATAAAACATACAACAAATATATCATTAATGTACTGTACATGCAAATATGGAGATTTTTATTGATTTTTTAATTTACTAACATTGACTTCAGCAAATATTGAAGACATTTGTCATTTATGCATAACAAGCACTAGAGGACAGTACTGTATTGACATAACAAGGCACTACTACTGTTCATAACACACAATTTCTACAACACATCAAAGCAACACTATCACTAAAGGTCTATCATATATTTCAGCTTAACATCTGCCAGTCATGTACCATAATACACATCTTCGGTTTATGACCATCAATGCAGTATAATTAATAATGCTTACTGTAAAGATGTTTATTACACTAACACAATTCAAACTCGTCTTCTCAAGTAAATTAAATAAAAAACTCGCATAGCTCGTAGAAGGAGAAATAGAAACATACAATCAGACAAAAACACATATGCAGCACAATATCTGAGCACCCTAGTCCACTAAACACCTTTATGACCTATAACACAATTACCACTTCCATCATTAACTTTGCATTCTTAAGTCATAACTGCATCATATATCACTTTGCCATTATGCAACATGCCATTATGCAACACTCTTTATACAAGTATATATATATATATTCAGTACAGTTCTTGCATAAATTCAAATCTTTGCTGGTAAACCTCCCCCTCCCCTATACAGTACACATATCTAATATACAGTATAACTTTTGGGCAACTATTGTCTCCTTCCAAACTATAACTCGTCAGCTGTCTCCTTCCCTTCAAGTATCTAACATGATTTCCTTGTTAATCAGTTTTATTCGACTAGTTCTTTATATGAACCTACAGTATTATTACTTTTAATGATATTTCTCAAAGAATCGAATTTTCCCTGCATTTTGCTTCCTCTGTAGGATTTCCCACAGTATACAAATATGTGGACCACTTCACATTTTCTCAATTTTGTCAGTCTTACAAAATTCCCTTCCCCCACCAAATACCCATATCATAAAAACTTACAACCAATTGCAACATTTTCCCTTAACTCTCATCACTACTTTGCCAAAATCCTATCAACCACCACCATGCAGAACTCAATCTCCCCCTCAGGAAAAAAAAAACCTAATCCCTTTAATTCCTTTTCATCACAAAACTCTTAAACCTCTCATACCTATTATATAAAACATTACTGCAATCCTACTCTCCTTCACACTACCGTACTATATTCCCAGTTATATGACCCACAACAAGTTCTACTTGGTTACCTTCTATAATGATTTCTTCCATTGGCTTGTATAGAACCATTCAGTTACCTCAGTATATACAATAAATGACATCCCATACTATACTTTATCCTGAATTTTATAATGCCCAACATTTTCAGAAACACATTTGATCCCACACTTATTAAACTACTCAAAACTCTTTAACTTTGAGTGAATTTAGCTGTCCAAAAATCCTATATTCTAACCTAACCCAAACTGATCTTTCTACACAAATAAACGAAGATAATACATAACAACTGGTGAATGGTTTAAATTACCGTACATGCTACTAAATGCTGACCTAAATATCTTACGTGCATTTTAAAGAAACCTAATCTTGTGTCAATAAAATAATATGAGAGATTTTTTTCTTTCTCTTGAGGCTCACTTCACTTTTCATTGACATGTCACTGTACTCTTTATTTACTGTAATGTACATGGTATAAGTTGTCACACAGATAGTGATAATTTAGTCTGAAAATCCACAAGAGGACTGATTGGCACTTTTTACTCATGTCATGTTTTCTTCTTCAGCCAAGTACAGTATACAGTACAAGTACAGTATAAATGATGTAATCAGGAAGTGTTATACCCTGTAGTAATTTTTAAATATCTGAAAAGTAATATTACAAGTTTAATTCTCAGGATGTGGAGTAACAAATGTCTCCACCTTAAGCAAGCGGCGCCATGCAAAATCATGCCACACATAACATTACCAGGCAGATGACACACACAAGACAGAGAGGAGCAAGCACCACACTATCAAAGGGCAGTGCAGGGTCTTAACATTTCCCAAGAATGTATAATACAGTACATGCTGACACATTTCATTACTGTACAATCTAACATTGCAGTTACTACTCAGGTCATTCCTTCCATCACATCTATGGCTATTATCACTTAATAAAAAGAGGAAAATGGCTCTACTGTAAGGATTCTTGTAAAAAATCTGACACAAACCTGAAGAAGGATGCGGGTCTGTTAGTGCGCCGTTCAGCCACTGTCGAAGGAGAGGAGGAGGAGGACGTGGAAGAGGTGGAGGAGGAAGAGGACATAATGGATGTGGAGGAGGAGGAAGAGGAGTCTACCACACCAGCCCCCTGTGAGAGAAAACAGAACTACCATACCACTACTCAAACAGGGACTCAACTATGTCATATAATGGTCACTAGTTTATAGGTTTGTTGAAGTGTTAAGTCTTCCACCATACTTAGTGATGGACATGATCTATACCCAACATCTATCCTTCAAAACTAATGACCATCTCAAATACTATAGAAAAAAAAAAATATATATATACTTTGCCTTTTTTTTATTCTATAATAAATGTAGTCACCCACAAAAGTCCTATCGCCTCTCCTGCTGTTCCACAAACCCGGAGATTCAGACTTAACCCGAGGCAGTAAATTAGACGTTGATGCATTTTTCTATCCATAAATGATTCGGACTCACGGTTCTGAATCTCGGGGTTTGTGGTTCAGAAGGAGTGATGACAGGACTTTTGTGGACAACTGTAACTATGAATGTGAGGTCTATTTTTTCTCATATGAAAAGACATAGCTAGCTAGTATATACTGTAGTACATACTCGGCAAATGTTTAATACTGTATATATAAGATTAATGTCATTCTAAATCTTTAATGTACTTTGCCAAGAAACTATTCACAATAATAACCAATTACTGTACTTCGAAGTGAATCAGGTATTACTGTATTGGTAAGTCTATGTTTACATCAGCCAATCTCGTGAAGTTTTACACTTAAACCCCACTTCAATTCCTCATTTTGTTCACTCTACTTCCTTCATTTGATCTCCATTCATACAAACATTTATATCTCCATGTGTTCCTACTTGCCACCTAATCACCCATTTATCGTTTTATATATTTCTGCTTTACCCAATTCTAACATAACCTTGGTGTAATACAAATCTCAACTACAATACCTCAGTTAGGTTAATTCCAGCTATGTTTATTTTCTGGTATTGTACTGTGTGGAAGAGTACTGTGTGTACATTAACTGTGTGCATGTGTGTTTTAAGATGATCAATGTGAAAAGGTCAAATGTAACTAAAAAAAAAAAGAATGTGCCCTTTGTTTGTGATTAATTGTAAACGATATATAAAAAGGCAAAGGTTTTAAAATGACTTATCATAAATCATTAAAAACTGAGCTCTAAACATACAGTACTTAATGTATGTAAAAGCTTATTACAGTATATACTGTACTGTACCACAATAACAGGGTTTATTAAATTTATTCTAAAGTGGAGTTAGTATCTAGGTTTACAGTCAACAATACTGTACTCAAAACATTACTTCACTGCCTACAAAAATTAGTTATGTATTAATGACAAACAACTCCATTAATATTGATATATCTTTTCAATTCACAAGAAGATTGAGTTAAACACACACTAACATACAAAAAAACAGAGCATTTATAAGAAACTATTGATAATACTGTGATTATTTTGGGCTGTTGACCTCTGATGAAATACCCTAACACACTGTTCTTCCATGATGGTTTATAATTAAAAATTAAGTGGGCATCATTATGGCTGAACACATCACAGGCGTTAATATAAATACTTTCATGAAAACATTTGACATATTTAAACTACTATACTTGATCTAAATTCATTTCATTACACTTTAGAAGGGTAGAATAAAGAGGGGTGATGGAGATGGCGTGTGCCTATATGACCCGTACAATGAATATGTATCAGGCTGAAAGATAACTCCCTCACACCATACTAGTACCTCGCCAGTTGGTCATCACACAGGTACAGTACCATAAATTTACCATCAACTAACTATTGCCTATAAAAATGTGTCATATATTAACTATAACCAAGTGTCAATTTAATAAGGAGATTTGACATTATGACAGGCATTTAACAGACCAAGTAAAGGCATGCGTAATATGTTCCCTTTAGTGACCTTATAGAAATAAAACTTGTTCATTCTTATGGATAATTCACCCTATTAAAAAAAATTATATATATATATATATATATATATATATATATATATATATATATATATATATATATATATATATATATATATATATATATATATATATATATATATATATATATATATATATTCCCTCTTTCAACCGTGCATTAACCCTTGGAGGACGATGGTTTGAGCTATAACTCTTAAGGATAAGGCATAAACTTCAAGAGGGACCACCACTGTCCCTCAAGGGGTTAAGAGCTACATTCAGAATACACACTTGGGACTGTAATACAGGATCACCTTCGGCACCTGCCAATGTGCAGGTCTTTATGTATGAATTATATTACTGTACCTGAGTTCAGAGATGGAGGTCACTGTATGGGGAAGTGTAAGAATGTGCTGTGCTGTGATAAGAAGGTGTGTGTGTGGGGATGTGTAGAAGTGTGTGGGGATGTGTAAGGGTGTGTGGGGATGTGTAAGGGTGTGTGGGGATGTGTAAGGGTGTATGGGGATGTGTAGAAGTATGTGGGGATGTGTAGGAGTGTGTGGGGGAACGTGTAGGTGTGGGGGAATGTGTAGGAGTGTGTGGGGGAATGTGTAGGAGTGTGTGGGGGAATGTGTTGTAATGTGCAGAAGTGTGGGGAGGTGTATGAAGGAGTGGAAAGAAATGGGGGTGAAGAGGAGTCAGGTTATGTGAGTCACCCTCCTTATTGGTCAGGGAGGACAGAGTCACTATCATCCGCACCTGACGTCAGAAAGGCATCCCTAACGCACCACCAGCCCTGTGTCTTCTGAACGTAGATCACAAACTACAGTACTCCCAAAACCAATCGAGCACTTTGTTGTGTGGGTGAGGTGGCCTGATATTCCACCCAACTAGAAACAGTTTCAAATTTATACTACAATTTTAGAGCATTAAATGTCAACCCCCCATGGATTGAGCACCATTAAATATTCACGCTAACACACCCACAACAAACCAAACTTAGAAAGAAATAGGTTTCTGTGATACTCTTCATCATAACTTATGTCTGACGAGCTAATTTTCTTCCTTTATCAGATGTAAAACTTACAGACTATCTTCTACTTTTATAATCCAAATGCTGTACTACAGTACATATAAAACAAAATAAATATTAACTAAAGAAAGATATAGTTCCTCTTGAGACAAAGTATGTGATGAAGTGTAATTACCAAGCAACATCCATAAGTACCGAGCCCATGACCAGATCCCACCATAAACCAACACAACCAGTACTGTATGATGCACACACTTATGCAATTCCTCTGAAACCAACTTATGACTGATTGGCCTCATTTTGTTTGCATAATCAGAATGTAAACTCCTGAACGCTAAATATGAGATTTCAAACAACTAAGACTGTGAAAAGCCCGCTGACCCATCCCCCAACTATTGCGTGTGTATCGCTGCTGACGACACTAATGTTCATGATACTACAGACTGCAAGACTCAGTGCTTTCCTGTACTGCTACGATCTCTCTCAATACAATATTTGCATTGCCAGCAGAGAGTGAAAGGTGCAAGTCCAAAGTGAAAACTGAAGCCTAGGTCCTTCAAACCTCCCTGAGAACACCTTCAGTGACTCTTGTCCTATTCTTGGTGATGAACACAGGACAGCCTAGTTGATAACCAGATATAACCAGTGTACGAGGACGACCAAGTTGATAACCAGATAAAAACTAGCAACGTATTGTCACTCAGGTGGTCTCACGGTCAGTTCTGGATTTACTGGCCAAGAATAAGATTCGTCAAGGTCTGGACGGGCACGGCACTTACGTGTGTTGTGGCTATTCAAGTATATTGAGCCAGCGCCCCCAGATGGACGCCCCCCGACTGCGTACCTTGTGCTGGCCACCCACCCCAGGACTGCTCTTTCCATTTCCTTTGGCATTAACTTGAGTGGTCTTCGTGGAGTCTCGGCGACCTACCAACGCACGGCCATTGGCACCGCTGCTGCTGCGTCCCAATGGAGTGGCTCGACCTCCTTCTTGAGGAGAAGTCCTCGACGCACACATCCTGGTATTGATACTGGGTGCAGGTGAGGAGCGAGGGGTATTTGTTGGGGTGGCCCGACCAGACTGAATCAAGTTGGGTCTGCTACGAGGTCCAGCCCCACGACCTATCGAGTCTCTGCCACCAGATACTTCTGATGCCGATGATTCTCGATGACAAAGGCTTCCTCCACTCTGGTGAGCTACATGGTGGTGGTGGGCGGCGAGGGTGCCAACGGTGGATGCACTCCGTGTCTCTCGACTACGACGCGGAGGCTTCTCTACTGCTGCGGGCACCTTACGACCTCCAGCCTCGGGTGCTACCGAGTTGTTGGCCTCAGATCGTCTGGATTCCTCTTGATGCACCACAACATCATACTTGATGTTTGGTCCAGGATGGACAGTATGGGTGGCAGCCTCCACCTCATCACCCGCCCAACCTTCAGTCATGGTGCCTGTAGTACATACCAGCGGACAAGCAGTTATCCCAACATCTTTCCGGTCAACTCTCTCTCGCTGCTCAAGCTGAGGACAAAATGAAGAATGTATACAGTACAGTATATCACCATAACACTTTTATGGTCTCTACTACATACTATTACCTAACAAGAATAAAACACTTCACAATATTTCATGTACTGATGGGAAACTAGAAATCTTGATATGACAAATAATACATTAATTAAATTCTGCAGCACAGTCAGTTTTTTAAGCACTGCACAAAAATGATACTGTACATCTTTTGTTTAACCACGTCAGTTATCCTCGTCCCTTTTACACATAAACTTCCTTGACAAAAGTTAATATCATTCTTTACACATCCACAGCCTTCATCATTGTGGTCAAAAAAACAAACCTTTCAAACACTCATCATGGAGGTCTCTCTCTACTTCTGGACGGTCCATGATGAACACAACAGTTCCCTTGGAATGTTCTCTCACACTCAACATATTTATAGTCTAACACTTATCTTATTGTAAATATCATCTAGGTATGTTCACTAAAACTCTTATAAAATACTTATAGCCTCAAACACTTGAATATTGTATCATTTGGGAGTCTTCACCAGATCTTCCATGGAGAGGCAGAAATGGTTCACCTGAAGATAAGGTACTCAAACTTATTTCACCTGATGATTAAACACCCCTATGCTACCTTCAGTGGGTAGGTTAGGCCAGATAACCTGAAGGCAAAGTGAAATAAACTGGGGGGTCGCTAATCTTTCAGGTGATCCTCAGATACACCTACCCTCTGACAGACACTTACCAGAGTCTTGAGGCTGAGATTCTCCTCCCTCAAGGCCGAGACGGTGGAGTGGGAGAGCCTGTGGTCAGCTTCCCACTCGGCCGTCTTGTTTACCCACTCCTCACTCGCTGTCTCAATCTGTTTCCTCAAGACCTGTGACCAAACATCAAGTTGTTATAAAAGGCCTCTAATTCTGCCTACACAGTTTATCTAATTATACACAAGAGAGGAGAGAAGCGAAGAGAGAAGAGAAGAGAGGAGACAAGAGAAAGAGAAATTATATATACATCAAAATACTGAAAATAGACAAAAACACTAATATCTATACAGTACAATATATCCTAAATAACAATAATGGTTATATAATACAGTACTGTGCTGGAAATACTGACAATAAATCACCTTGTACTATACTACACTACATTATACACTCGAATAATAATAACAATACTGTACTAATAAAATTTATCTAATTCTCTCCAAACATTTACTTCCATATAAAAATAATACTACTGTAATTATATAGGTATGAAGAACTAGACGAAAAAATAATAAAAATTTACAATATTATAATTAAACTTACAAAACCTTACATAATTATAAGCAATCTTACATAATTTGATACATTTTCATTTAAATAACTGTGTCAATCTCCTTTATAGTACCTGTATTGCAAGAGAATATATATACAGTATATATTTAACAGACTAATAGGTAACTCAGTTTTCAAATAACAAATTCGATCTACTTGGAAGAATTAAAGAATACAGAAGTTTAGTTGTTGGGTCTTGTTTTAGTTTGTAAATGATGATACAGCAAGTGGCATTATGTAATAGAAAATACAGAGGACCCTAATTCTTCTGTACTGTTATCACTATTACCTACAAACTTTAAATTGGAACAAGTCGAGATATATAGCCTTGGTGTGAATTAAAGAAGAAAGTAAAATGTTTCCTGCAGTCAAATACACAAACCTAAGATCAAGTAAAGTTCTCCTTAAATCAACAGAAGAAAACCTTCAAGATCCGTGACTGAACACTGTACGTACCTCAGTCTCCATCACAGTGGTAAGAAGTTGACGCTGTAACTCCAGCACATCCTTTTCTCTCAAGATGGCAGAGATGCGCTGCTTATTCGGCTGGACCTTTAAGCGTGCTCCTTTCAAAAGGCTTACAGGCATGCTAAACCCACCATCTGCCTTGCCAGCTCTTCTCTCTCTCTCAATTACTACTCGGTCACTCCCCTTCTTCATCTCACCAGCAGGAGAAGCAAAGGTGGAGTCTTTGATGTTCACATTTTCACTAGTGGGACTAAAGTCTTTATAACCTGAGTTCTGGTCTTTCCCACTGTTTTCTCTATGACTGGAAGCCGTACTGGATTCTTTGTTTGAGTGCCGCTGAGTCCTATCACGAATTGGTACTTTGAGGACCCTGGGTAGTACAACATCTCTGTCACTATTGATGCGCACACTAGATGCACTACGAATCACGCGTCCTCTACCAGCTCCTCCGATGCCATGAGAGTCTTCAGCACCTTCTCCACTAGCGACACTGACAGTTACAGCAGGAGGAACACGGCGAGGTTTAGTGAAGTTAGTCGTGGTGGTCGTTGTCGTGGTATTGTCACTCACAATGTGGACGGTGTTTACACCCCCCATCACCGAGTGAACAATTCCACCCGTAGATGCTGGACCATCACGCCTCACACCATTGGTTTTAACAAACTGCAAGTTCAGGTCATTGCCAAAGTCAACTCTAGAATCTACTCGAGGATCTAGACGTGGGTCAAGTCTGAGTGCCCTCACTTGGTCTTCCAGGCGCCGTTTATCCCCTGCCAGAGCCAAAAGTTGTCCGTGGAGATCAAGCAGACGCTGGTGGGACGCAGCAGCTTCAGCCTCGGCCCAACTCACTCTACCAACTAAATACTGACGGTCCTGACGCAGGCGATCCACAGCTGCCCATGCCTCTGCCTCCATTGCCATACCAACAGGTGGAGGTGGGGGAGGTGGAGCCAGTATGTCTCCACGAGAATGGAAATTTCCTATGGGTCCAGGCAGAGAATGTGGCCAATAATCTCGGTAAGCTGGATGTGGTCTGGGTGAAGTCAGGGGGTCCGATGCAGGGCTGCTTGCTTGAGGTTGGCTCATGCGATCTCGTTCCAAACGTTCTGCCCGTTCAAGCTCATTTCGTAATCGGGTTCCCTTCCTCTGTATGACATCAAGTAACTGCCATAATTCATCCTCCGCTGAGCCAAGTGGAAGCTCAGGCTCCACCGAGGTCCAGCGGTGCTCCTCTACACCTGACAGATGATCACCTGCTGAGGAAGATGAGCTTTTGCCCATACTTCCACCAGCCTTGTCCGTGCTGAAGCCCGAGTCTGCCACTGCTGAACTGCTGTGTGTCTCACTAAGAGACTTGCCACCAGTACTGCTGCTGCTACTGCTGTTCCCACTTCCACCAGTGGTGGTCACCCCACCTGTAGATGATATGGGACGCTGCTGCCTCCCACCGTCACCTGAGGTCACGTGGTGGGAGGCGGCAGACGACTTACTAGGGGAGGGCTCTCCCCTAGCGGTGGGGATAGCCTGCGGGGGCTGGGAAGCCTGGCTAGACGGTGGGTCATGGGCATGGGTAGGTGTGAGTGAGTGGTATGCTCGGGCTTGTAGATGAGGAAAGGCGTGCAGCACATTGTCCCGGAACTCTAGAAGTGACGTCACCTCGTGCTGCAACTCCTGTTAGGGAGAAACCATTCATTAGGACCTCACAATAATGTTTCAGAAGTAAAGGATTATTGCAAATTCCCAGTAAAACTAGAGTACAGTACAGTACAGTAACAGTTTATACACGGTATAAGGTGACCATCCCCCAATAAAATCATTATTACAGTAGAGTAATACTATTAATTTTAATTATTTCAAATTGCTGTGTTAATGAATAATAAAGGAGAAAATAAAATTGAAACTATCCCAATTCCTACTCCACTAATGACAAGAAACAGTAGTAATCAAAATTGGAACAAGGTGGAAAATTTTTACAGATCACTTGAAGAACCGCCCCACCTTGTTTCACCATATAATTAAGTACCCTAATGCGAACCTAACCTGACCTGACCTGACCTAAACCCCAAGAGGTAGCTTTGGGCGTTTTAATACACAGGTGAAATAAACTGATGGGGTGATCTTCAGGAGACTCACACTTAGTGATTAGTGTTACTGTAGGTGTTTGTGACTTAATGTTTCAGACAGATAGATAGACAATAGTCCTTCGGTGCTTCGCCTTACATAGAATACAGGAAGTGCACCATAAACTAGTCCCTGCGCAAATCTGAAAATGTGACACGTTATCAATCAAGTGTCACAACAAACAGTGAACTTTGCCGAGTTATCACTCACACACACACACTCACTAACGGTACGGACATGAGATGAGCGTGAAAGAGTGAGTGAGTGAGGGCGGGCTGGAGGGAAGTTTGGCAACGTGTTAAGTCACGGTCGGGTGTCGGGTCACCAGTGTTGCCATAAGGGGTAACACTCATTTTCCAGACTACTTATTAGTACCGCTCTATTATCGCCAGTTGTAAACTAACAGCGCGTCTACCAGCTGCCCGACCAAGGCCCTCTTGTCTGCTGGATGGCTCCTTCACCACTCGTTTACTAAACTTCGCGCTGACACGAATCATTTGCTGACTGTGTTTCAGATCAGGTTAGGTAAAGCTAGTGTACTGTATGGTGGTAGGTGTGGTAGTGGTCGTGGTGGTGGTGGTAGGTGTGGTAGTGGTGCTGGACAGTTGTTGGAACCGAAGCAGTTAACGAACGGAACACTGCCACTCAAGGCTGCCTTCACCGCCTCGCCTACAACCCATCCACCCCACTCACTTTACTCCAACACAATTGACCAACCATCCATCCACTCATTTGCCACACTACAATAAACCCACAAAACCCTCGACATAAAATAATCTACAACCCCCAACAACAATTTACATAACAAAAACATTAAATTACACACTTAAGACCCCGTTATTTCTCGGTACCACAGCTATTTACGATTCTCTATTTACAAACGATATCAGCACTCCCCCAACAATAGACTAAACAATGCCAACATCTAATCAACAATGGTTTTAGTATCCACACAAAAGACAATGGCTACAGAATGAATAAGGGAATAATATAACTTAGTAAGCAAGCGCGAGAAACAAAAGCACGAGGCAGTGGTGTTTAAGGTCTCAAGGGAGCTCCCGTGGACACTCGTTTACAACAATTTCTAGTCACGTTTAGCCCGTCAGTACCTGTCCTTACCACCGTCGCATAATTATTTATCTTTCACAAAATCCTTTACAAAGATAATTAATACTTCATAATCAAAATCCCGTTAATCGTCAAATTTAGTTAAGTTAGGTAAGGTTAAGTTAGGTTGGGTTGGATCTGGTTAGATTAGGTTGTCTTCTGTACCGCTGATTTGAACATTTTTGTAATACTGTACATGAATTTTTTAAGGATATTAGAGACTGTGTGTGTGTGTATGTAATAAAACACCCTGAAAACCTAACCCAACCACAGTCAGGTGATGCGCATGAAGACAGAATAAGGAGGAGGCAGCTGACATAACCATTATTTAAAATACACACTGTAATACCACCCGCGAACTCCAGCTTAAATAACAAAACAGTATCTTACTTTATGCAAACCGTATTAATAATTAACTACGTAAATAAAACCTTAAACCTGTGATTTGTTTTTCTTTTTTACATGCATCACGAGAAAATAAAATATTGTCACCAGTATCATAACTTTCAGAAAATTTACTTCGTTACACCAGAAAAAAATATTGGAAACTAATTATTTTCCTCGCACAAGTAATATTCCACACAAAGGCTTAAACATTACGTAGGTAAGAGTTAATATTATTTATTCAGAACGTAAAAACATGAAACATAACCAGCGCGGTTAAAAAAAATATATATGAAATATAAAATAAAAGTTTGTTTAATAATATTTACACAAACTTTCTCACTATAAAAAAACCAGATATAACCTAGCTTCCTACCATATAATTTTGACGTGTAAAAAGTTTCACTATTAACACGAACATTCAAACTGCAAAAAAATAACAACGAACCGTCTATCCAGTGAATTGAAAAAGTGCTGGCTACCCGTGTCTAGATTCCATATTTGATTACCAATGGGATATGAAACGATCTACCCTTAGAGGACGATGCTTAAGATCTAACCCTTAGGGAGAAAGGCAGAATACAGTGTCAAGGAAGGTAGGAAAGAGGAGGAGGAAGGATAGCTGAATCTGGCTGGCGTTACAGGGCGTGGAAAGGTAACACCATCTCGAGGTTGGTTTAAGAGACACACAATCGACTTGGCTGCGGTAGGCTTCTTCATGACCAGACAAGAGAAAATTCCATTATATATGACAAACCTGTAAAAAAAAATATCCCGGGAAATTATTTAACTGGCTTTATAAACAAACAGTAATATAAATACGAGTCGAAGGTTAATGTTTAACCAGCAAGGGAGAGGGGAGAGGGGATACACCATATTACGGCTTTAAGCTAATAATGTTAATCTTGTTTCCGACGCGCCGAAAATATCACACCCATCCTGACAGTAATGGCCTTGGCTTCGGCTTCAACCTTACATAACATTACTACTGGGCATTAATGTAAATGTTGGAAGACGATGATGATGATGTAAAGCATAACCCAAATGACAGATTCGAGACGCCGACGACAGTGATATTTCTCAGCGTTCACCACTAGACCACCACGACCAAACCACCCCCACTCGTGTACACATCTCAGGTGTTTCTCAGTACACATACACTTGGCCATGTGTACATCAGCTACTTATGACCATCAACCTCACAAAATACGTATACTTCCATCACTCTATCACTGACGAACATAACTATTTCTCCCCCTTATGGCCTACTAGTGACAAGTCCTTCACGTTACTTTTATTCATTGAACTTTTGCCCTCATTACTGGTACTTATTAATGTATATTCCCTTTCTGTAATATATAACGAGACAAAAAATTCCCAGAAATATCCTTTCGTAGTTGCATGGGAACCGACTCGTCATGTGACTGCTGAGGTCTACGTGAATATAATTACTGTATCATAATACCCAAGAGGCCTAGAACAACTAGCGGGGACTAAACAAAATCCCCTGGCTTTTCCAGGTTTTCCAGCCCCAATAAAATTACCTGGCTTTTCCAAGTTTTCCAGCCCCAATAAAATTCCTGCCTTTTCCAGGTTTTCCAGACCAGTAGACACCCCGAGTCTATATTAAGAAAATGCATCTAAAGGCGATTTAAAACTTACGGGCTCAGCGTAATTGACTTTTTAAATATTTTTAATTATATCAAAGGTCATTAATTAACACTAATTACGCGAATTTTAAACTGTGAACCCAGATCCTTAATCAGTATGTAAGGTAGTACCTTTGTTTATACAGTAAAGATAGGCCTACACCAACTTCATTTTAAACATTTGTACAAATTATCTGTGAAATAGTATCGGCAGCAGTCAAAATTAGATCATTTCCAAAACCATGGTATCTGGTGATGTTAAGGTATTACTTCACCGAGAGTTGATTCTTCGACCTTTAAAGGGATTCTGATGTCTCCCCTACCCGAGTATAACTGTTTTATGATCACATCTGAGTCCAACACGCAGACAACACCTACACCCATGTGCCTCTGCCTCTACACGCTGCCTACTACTACTATTCACAGATGAAAATATGAAATAGTTTGCCTTTGCGTTACTGTATTTAAGTTAGTTTGACCCGCGTAATACTAGTGAATTTTCTTTCTGAGATCATCAGTCCCGTGTACATGAATAATAAAACAAACATATCTTGATCATAATAGTCTCACAACCTCTTTGTCCTTCACTTTGGAGAGAACAATCAGGCGGGAAGGCGGAGGGCGTGGCCAGAGGATGGCTCCTCCTCTCTTTGTTTTCAAGACAATCCCGCCTTTTTTCCGGCGGACTCAGCGTTGGCAGACGCCTTGGTGTCATTCACTGACCCCCAGCGATGCCTTGGTCCTGCGTTTAGGGTGCGTGAGGAACCCGGTTGGTGGTGCCAACAAGTTGATAACGTCACACCCACCTCTGCCAAACGTCAAACCTCCCCGCCTTCCCTTGTAGTCATGATATACTGTACCAAGGCGCCGCTAACAAAGTTCATTACTCAAAGCTTTCTGTGTTGTGATGCACCAAGACCTAAAGAGTACCATGGACCTTGTGCTGCACAACAAAGAACATACATTATGCGTGTTATACAAACTCACATTTCAAGGATAATTAGCGGTCTTCGGTACAAGCTGGTTGATACTTAATGTGGGGAAATTACACATATCCACCCCGTACAGTGCCTGGGAAGGCCAGGAAATGAAGGTCAAAGATGAAAGTAAAACGAAATCTGGAGTCGTTATCCGTTTAGAAATATCAAGCAAACTATTGATTTTTTACAGGAGCCTCCTAGTACTGCACGACTGAAGGTGGCAGTTCTAAAACGTTCCATCTGTTCTAACCGCCTAGGGTATGGGAATTTATAACAAACTTGAACTGTAATAATTTTTCCCAATTTTATCATTTGATGGGATTTGTTCCCGTGGGAATATGTCCGTGGCGCGGAGGAAACTGACACCATCCCAGACACAAACAATTTGATGGCTGAGGGATGAACTAAGATTACTTGCGTTTAGGGCGAA